TCATTCTTATTTTATACAGAAAATTCCAAAATATTTTTAAATCATCAAATTACAAATATAAAAACGATAGAAAAGGCCATCTTATATGGACACTGAAGATGAAATTTTACTTCCTTGATGTCCACATAAGGACATCAGGGAAGTTATGTTTCAATGTTAAAAATTATATACTGGTACAAAAATTAAAACAGTTAGTTCTTTGAATCATACCTACATGGCTTATGATTTTTTTTTCAGTTCTCAAAAAGCTCATTAAATTTCAAATTCTTAAAATTTTGTGCTAATATTAAATTTGGTGTACACTGTGCTATATTATTTTGATACAATGTACCATATAATTATTCAAGGTACACATGAGGAAACTATTCTGCCCCACATTGCTATGGCCAGTGGAGATATCCGGCAACTCTCTTGTACAGTTGTAGTAAACAGACTACCTAGCAAACCTTTATGAATGAACCAGCTTTGAATCATAGTGAAGGCAGCATCTGGATGAAACCAGTTGCTTAATGCATAAAGGCAGAACATACCATATAGAAAACTCTGATCAAATAACAATGACCCTAAATGGATAAATACTTATTTAAAGAATATCATTGGACAAAGGAAGACTATAGGTAGGAGAATAAATCGTGGTGAAGTTTACCTCCGACAATTATAAGGTATTGGCCAGTAGGGTTAAGACCGAGATAAGAAAAGCAAAGAGGAATAATGAACTGAAGGTAGCAAGGGAGGTGGAGTCAAACCCCAAGGGATTCTTCCAAATGTATCAAACTAAAACATGAGACAAGATTGAACCAATACAGTCAGGTATCGGCAAGCTAATTGATAACGGCGGAGAAATGAGCAATACCTGTATGTAATCTGAAAATTTATTTTTCAGCACTTTTCACCACATAAAATTTAAAGCACCAACTATATACAGAGATAGTGAAGGAAATAGATTAAGCGAGGTAGTAGACACTAGTAACGATGTTAGTAAGCAAATAGACAAGATAAAGCCTAATAATACACCAGGTCCCAATGAGATAATTGGCCAGAGTATTAAAGGAATGTAAGGAAGAGCTTAGTATGCACTTAGCAAATTTGTTTAACATGTCATTAAAAACGGATGTAGTACCAGACTCCTGGATGATAGCGAATGTAATACCAATTTTCAAGAAGGGAGATGGATTACTTTCCTTTAACTATCGTCCAATCAGTTTAACATCAATTGTAGGCAAATTGCTAGAAGCAATAATTTCAAACTCTATTTAAAATCACCTGGAAAACACAAGTTGATCAATGATTCCCAACATGGCTTCAGAAGTGGGCATTCATGTCTGACTAATCTTTTAACATTCTTTTCAACTGTTTTCGAATTAGTGGATGACGGGCACGATTATGATGTGGTATACCTCAACCCTAGCAAAGCCTTTGACAGAGTCCCCCACGAAAGACTAATACAAAAATTGGAGGCTCATGGAATTGGAGGATATTCTAAAATGGATTAGGATGTGTTTAAAGGACAGGAAACAACGAGTAAGCATTAACGGCACTAAATCTGATTGGGGTAACGTCACAAGTGGAGTACCCCAAGGCTCAGTACTTGGTCCATTACTATTTACAGCATTTTATACATAAATGACATCTGTAGATACAGGCGTAGACAGCAACGTAAGTAAATCTGCTGATGACACTAAAATAGGGAGTGTAAATCTGACGAGGACTCCACAAAACTACAGGAAGTTCTAAACATATTTTTGGAATGGTCTGAAAAATGGCACATGTAATTTAATGTGGACAAATGTAAAGTACTTAGTCTAGGATATATAAACAGAGAAACCAGACATCAGATGAACAATGTTGTTATAGAGAATTCCAACTGTGAGAAAGATCTAGGAGTAATGATAAGTAGGAATCTTAAGCCAAGTCAACTATGTATATTTGCTCGAAACAAGGCCAACAAAGTACTTGGGTTCATACAAAGGAGTGTTAGTTACAAGACTAACGAGGTTATCCTAAAACTATATCTTGTGCTTGTGAGACCTCACTTGGATTATGCAGTTCAGTTCTGGTCACAATACTACAGAATGGATATAGAATCCCAAGAAAGAATTCAGAGCAGAATGACAAGAATAATCCTGGGTATTAGGAACCTTGAGTACAGAGACAGGTTAAAACATCTTAATTTGCACTCCCTTGAGAGACATAGAGTGAGGGGCAATATGATCGAGGTGTATAAATGGAAGTCAGGGCTAAACAAAGGGGACATTACAAAGGTACTCAAACTACCCAACCAGGAGCAAACTCGTAGCAATGGTTTTTAAATAGACAAATTTAGATTTAGGCGCAAGATAAGTAAACATTGGTTTGGAAATAGAGTAGTGGATGAGTAGAACAAGTTACCAAGCAACATCATTAACTCCAATACACTGGATAGCTTCAAACATAGGTTGAATGGATATATGAGCGATAGGGGTTGGGTGTAAACAGGACTGCCCAGTATGGGCCAATAGGCCCGCTGCAGTTTCCTCCATACTTATGTTTTTATTCATAAAGGTTTGCTAGGTGGTCTATTTACTACAACTGTACAAGAGAGTTGCCGGATGTCTCCACTGATAAGCATGTACAGGTATATTAACTCCTGTGATAATCTATTTCTTTAAATTTTATTGAGATATACAACCTTTTAAACAAATAAGATATACAACCTTTTAAACACAACAATATTTACAGAGCATCCCCCGATTTACAATGGATTACCGGTTATGTTCCTGAAAAAACATTGCAAATTTAAATACAGTATTATAAATCGGGAGCATTATAACATGGGGTTCAATGGGATACGTTCACAGCCAGTACGACACGACACTCCACATGTATAACTGGAAAAAAAATTACTGTACAGATAAAATAGCTAAAACACAATTAAACAACATTTTCCACATCATTAACAACAAGCCTGGTTTTCATCCCATGTCCCTTCGAGGCTAAGGGGACTGTTGAAGAAAGAGTGCAGACATCACTCTGACTCCCACATAGAGTGAAAGCACTTGTCACAATCACAAAAACTTAATATTATCTGAACAATAGTGATGTCCTCTCACTTTAAGGTAACAAACACTGATGATAAGCAACACCGATAATCACCGAGCTACACAATGCAGGACTGTAGTTCACCGGGTGGCTGCGTGCAGGTAGATGATGCTGCAGATGACAAGTGCAGCAAGAGATGCGTTCCATATTCCGCGCATCAGCGATTTTGGTTGGATGATGACTGACCTTCATGTGAATTTTTTTTTATCGTAACTAGGGACGTGACCTTAATACATCACCATCGTTCAAGCGAAATATTATAAATAGGAAGATACCTGTACATGGTAGGAACACAATAAGGTTTTTGGGTATGGCCAACACAAAACTAATTACAGTATAAGACGTAGAGAGAGAATTAGCAATGAAGATATGACATAGGAGTTGTTGCCCACAGAACAGGAAATTGGGAATGTAATAAAGCTTTTGAGAATGTTATGGTTGGTTTTCAAGTACAGTACAGTAGTGGACTGGCTGTAATGAAGAGAGCACAATAATAAATAAAAGCATTATATCTGGTTCAAGGGAGTGGATTTGATGACCTCAATTGCCCATAAAAGGATATGAGTTTTGTAGTGAAAACAATCTGTTTGCAAATGAATACTAAAAAGAATTTTCATTTTATACTTCATAGTTTCGTCAGCCTATGCTTTTCTTTTCCTATCATCTTCCTTCTATTCATTTGCTTGTTTATGCCTGTTTTTCAGTACAAGCAATAGACAAATACTTCCTTCTTACAAAAATTAAATAAGCAAAGTTCCAAAGCAGATGAGAGATGTATTGTTACTAACAACTGGAGGGGTGAAGTTGGTAACTGGCTGATATATCTTGGAAAAATACTAAATGAAATCATGTCTAAGGCCTAACAGCATGAGGGACATGAAGGCCAATGAATATGTTGTGCCAACTCGAGTATTTCCACGCTAACCTGGCCTGTAAGCCACGCCTCTCGTCTATAGCTACAAATAGCTGATTGGTTCTCCTGAGTGGTTTATCTCCCCCCGCACTGCGTGTATAGAAGCACATATTTATATCGACCTTTCATAATAAATATTTAAAAATTCTAACATCCTCTCTGATGTGCTAATGCCTTGAAATGATTTGCATTTTGATAATCCAGATATTCAACATTATTTTAGATAATAACAGGTCTGCTTAACAATTGTGAACACATTCATTTAGTTTGAATTTTCTATGAACCAATCAGCTATTTGGATAGAAGAGGGGCATGGCTTATGGGCCAGGTTAGTGTGGAAAGAGTATAGGTACTGTATCAGATAAATTGGCAGGGTTGTTTTTCATTTGTACCGACATGTATAGTCAGCCACAAGAATAAGTATACACCTACGGTTCGTGTTTGAGACAAAATACAGGTACAACCTACTCGACTTACGTCCACCCGCACTTACGACCTGCCTCAGTCGTACCAAAATTTGGTCAAATTATGTATTTTTGAGTCCCAAAGTCAGTACACAGACAAAATTTTCATCTGTAATTCACTATAAAATGGCTGGCAAGCTTAAAAGTGAGTGCTTTGTGGTGCTGAGAAGAAAAAGAGACACCCATTTTTTATTTTCTATGTGTTATTTAAGCATTTCCGACTTACGACCATTTCGACTTAAGACCTGGATGTTGGTCCCTAACCCAGTCGTAAGTCGGGGAGTACCTGTATCTGGTAACATTGTCCTGAACAGAACAGACAAAATTACAAAATGACCTGTAATTTATGTTTTATTCCTACATATATGTTATAAATACATTTGTTGTGAATGTTTTACTAGTGTCTTGTGTTTATATTAAAAGTAATATATTGTATCCAATGGTAGTAAAGTTGTTGCCGAATGGGATTGCAGTTATCGTACAGCTCCCTCCTCCTCCCCCACTTTTTCTCTTAGCCTACTTTTTTTTATGTTTTGATTAGTAAAGGAAGGAAGAGGAGTAAATAGAAGAATAAAGAATGGGAAACAGAAAATAGTTAGAGATAACAGGTGGGGGGAGCTGAGTTTCATCATGCATCTGGATGCGCAGTTTCAACGTTACCAGACTATTTTTGAACCTTACAACTATAGTGTGTTTACTTATTCCTGTGGCCGATTGTACATTTGGAAAATAGTTGTAATTAGTTTCAGTATTATAACTTAATTTCATTCATGTAGCATCATTTGTTACAGGCTGAGAGCTTATAAGTTTGGAATCTGAGAAAATTATGGATTTTTATAAACTTTGGCATCAGTATCATGTGTTTTCATCCATAGAAAGTGTGAACATAACAGGTATGAGAATTTTGAGAATGATCCCAGTCAGGATGACCTTCAAATGCCATTGATTTTAAACAACACAAAACTTTGGATGCAACAACACTGACTAGCAAGTTCTAAATAAGAATTCCAAATTACACTTAATTATAAATATTATTCTTCCTTTCACTTCCTTTATATATGAAACACAATCAAACATGAAAAACTCTCGAATTGATTGTGCTCTTGCCCCAAGTGCGGAAAATAGCACAACTGACACATTGTATTTGGAATGAATGAGAACCCCTGGGTATAATGCATTGTGTAGAGTTGCCGGGATTTAGAGCAACACAGACGCTTTTACATTCACCTTCAATCATTCTCTGTATATGTATAACAGATGCATTCAACTACAGCATTCCCTTTTTACAAGGATCAAGCATGCATGCAAACTCAACACATACATACACACAACAAAATCATTGTCGTTATCTTGATGTTTTGTCACCACATAATTCTGAAACTATGCCCAATTTTAAACACACGCTTTTTGATGAGACATTGATCTGCCTCCAGTCCTCATTGTACTTGTTTATGTTTTAAGATAATATTTAGTATCTTTTGTGGTAATAATTAGGACTGAAACTACTATCTTTATCATCATCATCATTGTCATTAGCAATTAATGCCTATTTTCCACACTTGCAAGGGCTAACTGTGACTGCCTGATGGCAACTGTCCAGGGTGCATGGTGTCTAGCAGCCTCTCGAGTCAGTTGTTTATCCCCAAGATAATTTCTCACAACCTTTCTCTTAGTATGTCATTCTTAGCCTATCCCTACCTCTCCGTCCCTCTATATTCCAACTCGTGATCTCTTGATCCAATTGTTCTCCATTCTCTCCACATGCTCAAGTCATTTCAGCCTACCTCTTTACAAAAGATATTAAAATATTGAAATATAAATCTAGACAGTACTTTGTAATGTGGCCATTACCGTATACACTGTATTTGTTGTAGACTATCTGTATACTATACAGCCCCACTACAGAAATTACAAATGTTCGCACCATTGTTATCATTTGAGTGTTACTTTTGGGGAGGGAATCCCCAGCCAGTCTTTCAATATATCAGGCAAGTATGTGAGCAGCAGTTCACCGCATAACTGTACAATATTGTACTGTGTAATCAACAATTGACTACTTGACAACATATCCAAGAGGAAGAATATATATGTAGTCTCCTGTATAGCTATTGCACCAGTAAAAAATAATATGCTAGTTTGTAAATTAATGATGGAATATACCAAATTTAACTGCACTCAAAGTACCATTGATCAGATTTAAAAACATCAGCTTAGTGCAAAGATGAAGTTTTAAGAACTTGGATTTCATTCACTTATAACATACAGTAATTACAGATTTCCATAAAACTTTCTAAAACACTAAAAGTTTTGGACTACCAGTATACCTCAAGATATGAGTGTAAAGGAATATGACACAATTTGTATTATAAAACATAATATAAAATTTCAACTAATGACAGGCAAACATTAATGTCAATCACCTGTTTACAGTAGGATCATCAATGGCATGATTAGGATCACAGGTAAAAGATACAGTGATAGCATATCTTGTACCACCTGTCACTCTTTCAACACAGTGCAAGTTCTCTGATCCAGAGGTGAAGGCCGATACCCGTCCTGATAAAACAGAAGATAGAAGCAGTACAGATTACATGTAAAGTGTAGGTAAACTTTTTAAAAAACTTATCATTACCTATACATACATTTACGATCTATAGTCTATCTACGTCTTCACACACTAACATTTTCTATGGTACAGGTAGTTCTGCTATAACGCGATAATTGTGTTCTTGTAAAATATCGTGTTATAGAAAATCGCGTAATAGAAATAACAGGGCTTATGGAGAAAATAGGGTTAGGTGCAGATTACTCGAAATCGAAAAAATTTAGTAGTTCGCCTTACACAAAGGATAGCACAGTCTAAATAAATGTTACATTCATATCTAATAATGAAATCATACAGTAAATGTAATACTTTACCTTGAAAAAATATGAATGTAACTTGATGGGGGAGAAGGGTGATTTTGAGGTTGATAACATCGAGCTTCTCTTCAAGTGTTATATCCTTTCTTTTACGATCATCACCGGGAATTCTATCACCAGAACGCTTCTTGGAGATATTCTTCTTTACCATATTCACAGTTAATACCACAAAATTGGAGAAATAGTAAGCAAAAATCGCGTTATAGCAAACAAGCGTTCGCGTTATACAAATATCGTTCCTAATTCATAAATCGCGTTAGAGCAAATTCGCGTTATCAAAACACGCGTTATAGCAGAACTCACTGTATATTCTCTAATATGTTAATGGTGACTTTCTTTTACATTTCAGTGATGGAGACACAATAACAAGGAAATGATGGAAAGAAATAAGGCCAGGTATTGTACGTACACATAAGTCAAAACTAGGAGATTTGGGTGTGGGACTCCCAAATTTTCAATATTTCAAGATTTCTGAGAAAAGATAAAACAAAGGGACTTCCTGACAATTCATACCGGGTAAATATTTGAAAGAAATAGTATGATTTACTTATGGAATATATAAGCCTGAATGCATTGCCCTTATTAAAGTACCTGTATTACATATCCTGAACTGATATACCTAAACCAAAATCTTACCTCTTCTAGGTTCCACTGTCTTGTTTGAGTCCTTGTCAATGAATATAAATCGGCCACCATCAAAATGATGTCCAAAGTCACTTAGGTACAACAGGGAGGTGTAATGGAACGATTCATATGTCTCCTGAAACAATACACATTGATGCTATAGAATTATCCTAAAATATCTGACCTGTATTACAAAATTGCATTATGAAATGAAGTCAATGATTAAAATTAATTCTTTAAGTGAATAAGTATTGACATTTTCCTGCTAGCTTGTTTCAGTCTATTATCTGGGATGAACAATTGCTTTGACTTTAAGGATGAGCACTTACAAAATACTGTACTACACACATTACCTTATCAACATGGGGATGCCAGTATTCATCATGAATAGTTTGTGGAGGTACAGGAGTAATTCGTGAGAAAAAGGTGGGATGTGTAAGATATAATCCACTTCTACTGATACCAAAGTGGTTTGCAATGGCATGATGAATCTTATTTTTTACATGGCTGAAAACAAAATAATGAGAATACTTTTAAACTTGTTTGTGCATCATGAAATGGAATTAACGTTAAAAAATTAAAGAAATAAACTAGAGAAAGTTGTTCTGAAACAATGGGTACTTTAGTATGGATGACTTATTTAGATTTTCAAGGGATATTCATGTAAAACTTAAGACTCGTATATTTAAGACAAATACAGTACTGTACAGTACATTCATATATCACTACCATATATGCTGACATGTAAGGCAACTTGGCATAAAAGACGACCCCAAATTTTTATTTTAAAATTTAAGTTTTAGTCATGTGGTCTAGGTTGTCACTCTGGGTACCAACACAGCCTGAACTTGTAGGTAGGATATTGTCTATTACCTGCTGGAATCTGCAGCCAAGGTGATCATGCTGCCATACTGTAAACACTAGTGACTACCTCATTGATTTCAACAAGGTGTCAGTTAATTTATGGTACCTCACAACAGTTACAGGTATTTTCAGATTTACGTTGTACGAAATAGCATCTTTTGAACAAACAGTAAAGTTGTTTAATAATTAGAGAACAATATTTGATATAAATCATTGAAGTTTGATATAGCTTCATTTTGAATCTCACACATATCAGTGTGGCGCCTGCCTCACCCACATGTTCCCAGCTCGCCAAAATTCAGTCTCACACTTTCTGCCTTGGTAACAACAACTGGTGCTGCTCCTTTGATTTTTGAGCCCAACTTAAAAAAAAAAAAGGAAGAAAAAAGGCCTGCAAGCACGGCAACCAAGAAATCCCCTATTTTCATCAGTTTAGATGTGAAAATTTACGAAGTGTGGAGTCAGGAGAGACAGGCTGAGGAGGAGACTAACCTTGACAGTAAAGTCCCAGAAAAAATTATATACATTGCCTTTAGACATACTGTACTTAGTTAGTTTAAGTCTGAATCTTTTTGTTTTAATTATTTAAATAATACTCATTCAAGAAAATTAGAGAAAGAAAAACTGTATGGCGCGGCTCAAGGTGTGATGAACGGGCAGCCGCTCGCAAGTTATGTCACGGCTTCAATCAGCTGGGAAGACCTCCGTAACTACTGTACTGTACTTGGGATGCTCATCATTTAGTGACATTTTTGTTATTAAAGTATTTGTTTAAAAAAAAACTTTCTTCAGAGATTTCATTATTTTTAACCTGTACAAAACATTAGTATGTTACTCTAACACAAAGTCATTAGTCTGCTTTGGTTCATGCATAGTGAGAGGCTCAACTGTATGAAGTCAAGTGAAAAAGTTAGATTAGGATGACTGAAAACTTAAATTATTTTAAAGCTTTATCATGCCATATGACACTTTTAACTTAGTAGTTTACTCTGTTTCATGCTGATGAGAGGCTCCACTGTATGAAGTTCACTAAAAGGGTTAGGGTTAGAGTGAATGAAAATGTAGCCTGGGAATATAGTGTCTGAATAACGTCTCACTATTTTGGAACGTATCTACAAAGTAAATCAGTCAATTGCTGTATTTACACCAAACTTAAGCATCTGCTACTTTTATATTCTAGTTCCTTTAATTACAATGTAATAGTACGGTAGTAATATCTCCATTAGCCGGAATCCCTCAAATCCGGAACTCTCCGATAGCGTGAGGAGCACATTTTCCGGAAAATTCTGGGGATGGGGGACATTTTTCCCGGTTCGAGAGATGATGTTACAGGCAATTTCTGGAACTTCCAATAACATTTTTCCCTTGCCCTGAAAATTCAGGGGATGAGGGATTTTTTCCAGCTTTGAGAGAGTTGTCTCTTTACCCGGAAATCTCTTATTCCTGGAAGTGCTCTGCACCAACTTTTCCGGCTAACAAGGATATCACTGTATTGTTTCATTAGCATTTGTGTGAAAATAAAGAGTACATCTTTATCAACCATTTTTCTTTCATCTGCAATAATTAAATGTACAGTTGTGGACAAAAGTTCATTCCCTTTGGTGAAGTAAGTCAAGGGAATGATTCTCTGAACTTAATTACCCTGACTGTCTTCTGGTGTGGTTGTGCTGTTTTATCCTGTTTGGGGTCGATGCTGCTTCATTTTGGGAAGGAGTGAACTTTTTACCCTACCTGTACCAAAATATCACAATGTTACAATAAAAATATTTTAACAATAACATCCAAATAGTCTTTAATGATGTGGGAGGTGATGGTGATGAGTGACATGATGATAAAGATGGAGGTGATGGCTGCTGCACTGCTGGGTGTAAGAGATCAGCTGACATCTACAGCATTAAATTTGACATTATCAGCTTTTTTTTTTTTTTACTTATGATAATTAAACCATAAAGTGTAAAAAGAAAATATCAAAAGTTGTCCTGTCATGTCCTAAAAAACAACCTTAGTGTTTTTGCTAAAAATTAAGTGTTTTGATGCAAAACACTGGAATGCATAATTTTTGGCTTCTGTGGGTTATATCTTTACTTTACTTTTACCCTATTCACCACTGATCGGCTTGTTAACTGCTTGGGTGAAGAGGATAAAAGTAAAGATTTAACCCACAAAGGTAAAAAATCATTCTTTAAATCTCTTGCTGGCACCATGGTAATATAATTCAAGTATCCTGGGATGGCAAAGCGAGCTATTTTGCCATTACTGTATAATCTTATTGTAATCTTTGTAATTTCTTGATGCCAGCTGTTTTATATTAACTTATTCATTTACAGTGTACTGTATAGTATTCTGCAAGAAATTTTAGCAAAAATTATTTACATAAACACAATACAGTAGTGGGAGTCCTCCTTGTTCGTCTGGGTTGCATTCCTGATGACCATGACTAACAACAAAAGTATAAATAGCAGGGCTGCCTAATTCATTGACTTGCATGTTATGACCACATAATAGTGCAGTACTGTACACTAACTTTTACTAATAAATTTAATATAAAAAACAAGGCTAATAGCAACACTGACAATACACATGCACCAGCATGGAATGTTACTGTTTCAAGCTGAAGTCATTATTATGTTTGTTATGTAAATAAATAAATAAAATTTTAGTTTAATTATACACAAATATTACATATAATATCAAAGTCATCACGGAGGGAAGTGTTTTATGTCAAAATTATGAATAATTTATTATTTTGCTGGAACCTTGTGTACAGTTTGTAGTACAGTGAGTAAAACATTATCAGTTTACAGAGGCTGAGAAGGAGAGAAAGAAATAAGGGAGAACCGAGAAGTGGGCTGATATGAATAACTCCCCTCCTTGTAACCAGAGACGAGTCCAACCTGGCCACAATGCCGCCAGTAATATTAACAGATGTAAATGTGAAAAGAAAGTTATCTGTAAATCTTCATTTGTATCAGGTATTTGTAGATTGAAAAATAAATGCTGCAGGTATGGCATTAATAGATTGTAATGCTTGTAAGAGTTCAGAAATGGTTATTGCTTAGTAACCTTTGAAAAGTTGGGTGTCTGCCGTACGGACGTTAATCGTCTCAGGTTATCGCAGGGATATGATTGGGTCTTGAAAAGAGAAAAAAAAAATGAGCTGGTGGGTCCGGGGAAACACCTACCCGGAAAGTTTTTGCCATGCTTAACTTAATTTCTCACATTCTTACTCGTTTCGTAAGTGCCTAATACAGTGAACCCTCACTTTACGCGGTTAATTCAACCCACGGCGGCCCGCGTAAAGTGAGAAATGCGTAAAGTGAACAACATAACATATGGGATTAATTGAAATAGAGACCAGGCCGACCCCCAAACTCCACTTTTTCAGACACAATACCTACGTTGTAGTAAAAATAACTTCGTAATTTTATGATGCACACACAATTAATAATTAAGAGAAATATCAATAATATTAGGTTTTTTAACACTTACATTAGTAGAAAAAATGGCTGGGCACACAGGGATGGGGGGTTGGTTCCGAGGCAGAGGGCAGATTATTGGCCCTCACCTGTATCACTTGTATCAATTGTATCACTATCCACCACAGAGGCTTGCAGGGCCTCTTTGTCAAACCCCTCAAAGTCCATATAAGTCCATATCCTCACTATAATTATCACTATCACTGACTTGGGCCGGCTGTGGTGGGTGGCGGGTGAAGAACTCGGTAATGTTTTGATGACTGGGCGACCTTGTGCGCACCCTGCTCGCGCCGCTCTCCGCATAAAGGGGTACACGCACCGCGGAATGTGAGCATTCCGGTTTCGGCAGGGTACCGCGTAAACGTGGAAACGCGGAATGTGGGACCGCGTAAAGCAAGGGTTGACTGTAATTAAAATACACAGTACAGCTGTACCCAAAATTAACCATGTTTGTTTATTGCAACAATATTTTTTTTATGCATACAGTCTTAATAATTCCTTTACAAAATTTAGTTGTTACTAAACTTGAATTTGCTTAATATTTTTAATCGTGCACCATTATTGAGAGAAGACAAGCTAAAAGGCAAGCTTTTTTTGCACTGTATTGTGTGAGACTTCAAAATTTAATACTTACCAAAGGGATTTATCTCTAATGCACTAGCAACTGGGTTTCAATAGCATATGTAGTACAGGGCATCCTCGCTTAACGTTGGGGTTTCGTTCCTTAAAACGCGACGTTATGCGAAACAATGTTAAGCGGATCAATTTTCCTCAAAAGAAATAGATATAATACGGGAGTTATGTTCCTGAGTCTCCCTTTGCCCCATGAAAAAAGTTACATATACAGAAAATCATTGCCATTTCTATAGAAAATAGTATATAGAACTACAGTACTAAGTTTGTACTGGTACTCACCGATGGCGTCTAAACCGCCTATGGCTACAGTTTCGAGGTAATGAGATAAACAAAGTAATTTACCCGAACCTGACAAACCAGACACTTACTGCAGTATGTAATTTAGAATTAAGGTATGTAACTATAAGGCATAAAGTCACAATATATAAGAAAGAATATGTGTGGGGGCCAGAATAAAGGCATAGTGAAATTTAAGCATTGGCACCCTTGGGCCTATTCAGTGTGAGGCACGGAGGCTCGCTCTCAGTCACACTCCACCTCTCATACACGCAGGTCAGTACAGCTAGAGTTGTGTCATGAGTACTTAAAGAGGCATATCTAGCATTTTATATACAGTATATCTTAAAGCCTTGCCTAATGTTATTGTTAATATAATAAGATAATTAATAGATTTTGTAATGTGTGTTAATACAAAGGCCCATCAGGCCAGTAAGCACATTTGTTTACACTCGGTCACACTCCGCCTCTCATACACACAGGGGTACACACCTGTGAGCGGCAAGGGACCATGGATACAGACCAGTGAGATCAGAAATCATGCTTGGCCGAGCCACCACTGTTCTACTTTGATGAACCCACCTGGTGTTGTGGGTAATGCCTATGGCCGCTGTGCAACCTCCCCTAAGGATATTTGGATATCTCACACTTCAGCACCCTGGATGTGAAGAGATGTTGGTGCACCTTGAGGTGTTCACGATCGCTACTTTATGCAACCTAATGATACCAGATGCAGAAATAGTCCTGGTATGAATGCCTGGGACGGATCTCATCTACCTAACACAAGTAGAGTGTGAGACGGGTACCTGCTGTGGGTACCTTGGTGCGAAGAATAAGCTGCAGTACCTGTATGTCCATATTGTGTGTATTATTGAATGTTCCTTATTGAGGTGATATTGAGTATTTTGGTGCTACTGAATATTTTGGTGATATTGGGGAAGGAATGACCTAAGTAAGGGTGTCAACAATTTTGTATGGAGAGAGAAGACCTTAATTAATTATGTGGAAAAGGTCAGGTATTTTTGTGTGGTGCAGTAATCTTAATAATTGCTTGGGGAAGGATAACTATTTTTGTTATTGTGACTGAATGCAATATTTTTAATATCCTAAAATAAAGTGTTATAAGGATGCTGGTTGGTGTTTCATCTTTTCTTCCACCAACTTGATTAACGAAAAACAAGAACTCACAGTGCCTGGATTGCTTTGCCAGTTACCAAAAGAACACTAAACATACTGTCCTGTGGTTTGGTGGCAGCGACCTAAGTTTAGAAAAGCCTATTATTAAGCGACCGCACTAAAGGGCAGTACAAGTACTATAACCATACCTATAAATCTTGAAATCCTGAGCATTGAAAAGGTTTTTTGCCTCCTCCAACTTAAAGATGTTGACAAAAGCATTGCCATGTGACAGAGCTCCAGAATGTAAATCAAGAATTGAGGCACCACCTGTAGAGCCACCAACTGACAGCCCACGCTCAGCAATGTTGAGGAGAGCCGCTACCTCTGAGGTTGTTACCAATGTGTCAAAAATTACACGACCACATTTTTTTGGAATGCAACCTGAAAATAAAATAAAATTACATACTGGAATGCCAAATTCTGGTAAAATCCTAGCAGTAAGGACAGTGTTACTGATGATAAATATTGTAGAATCTTGAGGAATTATAGACAAATTTGTCAACTTTCATGGTTCTTTTGATTTCTACTTAGCTTATTATAATTGGTTAAATTTGATCCAGTCTTCATTTTGATATTCACGAACCAAATCTTTCACTTATTTACTATGACTTGCCTTGAGGCCTATCTGAAGAGGGTATAAAGTGATATGTTTAATAAAATAGTAACTGCATTTAACCCTCTGGTCCTCTTGGACAGGGTAGGAAATCTCACCCCTTAGCAGTCTTTCAGTAACAGGAATGGTTTTTCCATTTTAGTAAACATTGAGTACAGTGATCCAGACCCAAATTGCATCCTTAAAGATGCATCTGCCAGCCCACGAGGCTAGTGGGAGCAACTTAGGTGGTTGATAGGGCCTATTCACTATTCCCGCATTTCTGCTTAAGGGAGTGCTTAATACGGTTGACCGTGAGGGGTTGTGCCAACAAATTACGTCGAAAGACCACGAGAGGGTTGAACTGTTCATGTAAGGTTTATTCATTATTGATAGGTTCATGCAAGGTATGGTAATTACTGTACAGTACTAATATATATACAGTACGGTATGGGATAAAAGATCCAGCGACACACCTACCTTGGAAATGCCTGAGTTCATCAGCATAATCTTTAGAACAACTTATCTCAACAGACCGCTTACTTATCTCTTCTTTTTGTGCTGCAAATGGTACCTGTAATTACACATTTCATTAAAAGAATATAAATAAAGATAAAATAGGAGAATTACCAGTAGAAAACCACTTATCACCGTTAAAGAGTAATGCGAGTGATGTAGTATGAAAAACATAACTACAGTACAGGTGCTGTATGTATAATGTCCTGTTAAAATAATTAGTGGAGGAAAGTGGTTCTGAAGTACTGAACAAAGAGTAAATGGACAGTAATATTACATCACTAGAACAACAGTACTGGCAGCAGAAATGGAATGCTCGGGAGTCTGACCTGCCCAATCCCGTGACAGCTACACCCAGGCAAACCTCCCCTTTATTACAATCGAACATATATGTACATACAGTACAGGTATTATGCTCCAAGTCAGTGCAACCTTACCAGTCACTTCAGTTGACTGAGGAATCTCCACAATGAAACAAGATAGATTAAATGGTCTCACCTTGTTGAATGTTATAGAAACATAAACACACACATACGTAAAGTGATCACTAGCTTTGCTTGAGCTCATCCAAGGCAGATAGAATTAGTAGATAATTCAGATAACAAAATAGTGTCAGCTAATGCATGATTTCTTCATATTAACAAAGAAAACCAATCCTAAATAAAGATTACCATACTTTACTGCTTTGATGTTATGTTAAATTTTGAAGTTACCTTAATTCACTGAATTGAGTGTCAGTTACTCTGATATACAGTGACCCCTCGTTTAACGAACACCTCGGTTAACGTAATTTCGATTAACGAACTGCCTTCCATAAGGATCTTCAATTCGTTTAACGAAAAAAAATTCGCTTAACGAACTTCTTACGAACCGACCTCAACATGTTTTCGCTTGCACTGACCGGGCAACCAGCTTTAGTATCAGTCCGCCAATACATTAATCGGTTCTAGGGCTTAAATTCCTTACTATTTTTGTAAATATCAAGAAGTTTATACTATTCAATTATTTTAAAAGTTTAATATTCAATTTTTTAGTCATTTTAACAATTATTGAACATAATTGAAGGTAAAGTGACTAGTTTAATGCGCGGCATCCAGCCTCTTAACACAGCAAACAGGCGTCAGTCTCTCTCTGTTTTCACTGGAGGTAACATCTTGCTTGAGACTCTCTTCAACTAAACGCTTTTTTTCTGTGTTTCCAAGCAAATTATTGGTCATTTTGAAAATTATTTTACATATTGACAATATATAGTGCAGTGCAGTGTTATTTTAAAGAAAATATTCTTTATTTACAGCTAGTTTAACTTTGAAAAATACGTGTTGCCATTGTTTGAATCCAGCATGGGGCCTAAGAGATCAAGAAAAGTGATTTCAATCCAAATGCAGGAAATAATAAAAAAACATGAACAAGGTATTAGAACAAATGCGCTATGCAAAGAATATGGCATGTCGGCATCAACTGTGTCGACAATTCTTGCACAAAAAGACAAATTTAAGAAGTGAAAGTGAGAGACAAATCTACAAGAGTGTTTAAAAGTAGATCCCTAATCGCAGAAACTGAGAGGTTACTTATCATCTGGATTAGGGAAAAACAGATGAAAGGTGATTCAGTTTCTGGTGAATTTCATTTGTGAAAGAGCCAGGGAGATTTATGAACATTTAAAGACAGATCAACCTGGTTCTTCAGGAACAGAATTTGAAGATTTTCGGGCTAGCAAAGGCTGGTTCGAAAAATTTAAGAAAAGAAGTGACATTTTAAGTGTTGTTAGGCATGGTGAAGCTGCTAGTGCTGATAAAGAAGGGGCAGCAAAGTTTTTAATTGAATTTAAAAAACTGATGGAAGAAGAAAATTATCTTCCACAGCAAGTGTTCAATGTGGACGAAACTGGGCTGTTCTGGAAAAAGATGCCCAAAAGAACATTCATCACCAAGATGAAGCCTCTTTACCTGGGCATAAACCCATGAAAGACCGTCTCACTCTATTGCTTGGTGCCAATGCTTCAGGGGATTTCCGACTGAAGCCTATGCTTGTCTACCACTCTGAAAACCCCAGGGTGTTCAAGCAACAGAAAGTGGTAAGAACAATGCTTGGAGTTTATTGGAAGTCCAACCGTAAGGCATGGGTGACAAGACAGTTCTTTAATGAATGGGCTGTTGATGTGTTTTGCCCCTCTGTCAAGAGCTACCTAACCACCAATAAACTCCCTTTAAAGGCTCTTCTCCTCATGGATAATGCTCCTGGTCATGACCCTGACCTTGCCAGAAATTTGGAGTATCAATTTGACTTTGTGAAAGTGTTGTTTTTGCCTCCAAACACTACATCAATCATACAGCCAATGGACCAGAATGTGATCAGCAACTTCAAGAAGTTGTACATGAAGAAAATGTTTAGGAGGTGTCATCAGGCAACTTCCATGATCCTGAACTAACACTGAAACAGTTCTGGAAGACACAATTCAACATCCTGGAGGCTGTAAAATTGATTGTGTCATCATGGCAAGAAGTCTCCACTAGATGGGCCATCAGTAGTCCATGATTTTGAGGGATTTGAGGATGACACAGAGTTGGACCAGGAGATTGTGTCCATTGGTCAGTCATTGGGCCTTGAAGTGGAGGAGAAGGATGTGGAAGAGCTTGTGATGTCTCATGAGGAGGAACTTACTCCTGAATGACTTGAAGGAACTGGATGAGATGTTACGGGTAGAGGCTGACAGTGGTGAGGAGGAAATTGAAAGTGATGACCATATGTCAGCTAAACAGTTGAAAGATGTGATTTACCACTGGGAGAAGTTCAGGGAACTGGCTTCAAAGCACCCAGAAGTGGAAAAAACTGAACTAACTTTGTGTCATGTTGAGGACTCAGTGGTCTCCTTCTTTAAACATAAGTTAATGGTGAGGAGGACAGATGCCCCACAGACCACAATTGACACTTTCTTCAGTAAAAGGCAGAGGGAACAAGATGCTAGCCCTCAGCCTTCCACTTCAAGAAGGAGAGAGGATGTTCATGGTGGAGAATCTGTCAGTCCAGAGGTTCCTGACATTTTCATGGAAGGTGACTCACCTTCCAAGAAGCAGTAAAATGCTTCTCCTCCACCTCCACTTCCTTCTCTTCTCCCTTCTCCTCCTGCACCTCCCACTTCAAATGCACATCATCATCATCATCCAGGAGCCTTCTACATACACACCTCAAAGTAAGTAAATTTTCCGCCATTTTTGTTGAAGTTAGGAAATTTTCGGTGAGCTGGAACCAATTACCCAAAAACCCATTGAAACAATGGTTTCGGTTAACGAACGTTTCGGTTAACGAACGACCTTCTGGAACGGATTGAGTTCGTTAACCGAGGGCCACTGTATTGTGTTAACTTTTGTGGTATGGAATATTGTAAACAGTACTGTACAATAATAATAAACCTTTCTTTGAAAATAATGAGGTCTTATATACAGTACATGCCTTAATTATTAATAAAAAGACAAGCATATTGTTTTTGGTATTATTAAAGTTTTATCTTATCCCATTAAAAATAAATTTCCAATGTTAATTAATGGTACAGTACTGTGCATCACAAGTGCACCTGAGGGTAAAAGTTATCCCCCCCTCCCCCAATCTATCTGAACTGGGTCTGGCCTTGGTGTGGTGGTGCCTCACACACATTGGGAAAGATAAATTTGAAAACATTTTAAAGATTTCTGGCAGACACGTGACTACAGTGTGAAAGTTCATCGACTGTAATCTTATCACGTTCCATATCAGTCCTTTCAGCCTTGAGTACGCTACTGGAGAAGCTAGCATGTAGTAGACTAAATTCCTTCTGCAATGCCAATAACATCTTTACAGACTCCCAGTTTGGATTTAGAGCTAGAGGGTCAATCGAGAGTGCTCTGCTATCCTTTCCTAAAGACATCTTAAATTCCTTTGATGACAGTCAGTTCACAGTCGGTATATTCTTGGACCTCTCTAAAACCTTCAATACTGTCGACCATACCATCCTCCTTTCAAAGCTTGAACATTACGGAATTAGGGGCCTGTCCCACAATTGGTTTACCTCATATCTGTCCAAAAGGATGCAGTATGTCTGCTATAATAATCACCAATCTGACTCCTCGCCAATCTTGTAAGGCATCCCCCAAGGTTCCATTCTCTGTCCAGTACTATTTTTGTTGTACATAAACGAAATAGTCCACTCCAGCACACTCATAAAATACAACTTATTTGCAGACGACAGTAATCTCTATGCCAACAACTCAGACCTCCATTCCTTGATGAGAACTATGAACACTGAATTGACAAAAGTCAGGACCTGGGGAATACGTAATAAACTGAACTTAAGCCTTGAGAAAACCCACTACACGATGTTTCACAAAAGGAAAAACTTACCCCCAGGCTTGGACCCCCTGTACCTTGGTAATACAGTCCTCAAACGCAAACAAAATAATAAATTCCTCGGAGTTATTTTTTATGAGAAACTTAACTGGAGAAACCACATACAAGTCATTCACAGTAAAGTCAATAAACAGTGAGGTATCATGTATCACACTCGACAGTCACTCTCACAGCAATGAAATCTATCGTGATCTTGTTTACCAACGCCTGATACACTGTCATACACTATGGGGGGCCTCTGGCTCTTCAAAAACACAATCTCTGGTTACTGCACAAAAGAGAGTTGTATGGACAATGACCTACCGGGGGGTACTTGAAAAACAGATCACACAAACGAAAAATTTGCTAAATTGAAAATGTTAAAATTCGAAGATATTAACACCTACTGCTGTGCCCTCTTTGTTTACAAATCTATCAATTACTTGTTTGACAATAATTATTTCCAGTTCCGGAATAATCAGAGATATAATTTAAGGTACCCAGAGCTTCTAAGATCACCCCCCCATGTGCTCCTCTCAGTCCCAGACCTCCATAAAATATCACAGTGTGAATGTGTGGAACAACTTACCCCCACCCATCTGAGCAAAGACTAAGCTTCCTTTCTTTATATCATCTCTTAAAAAATATCTATTGTCTAAGTACAGTATTAATATTTCCTGTAATACCTACTATATTTACAGTACCTGCTTTTATTGGAAATTATCATGTAAATAGATATGAAATTACCATTGTAATAAACATAATTGCCAACAGACATAATCCTGACAGCTCTGTCCTCTTGTTCAACCTTAATATTGTACAACCTATGTTGTACTGCTCCCCCATTATACATATGTTTTTTAATTCCACTGTAATTTATATATATACCTGTACAGTACTTATAATATAAAAAAAAATTAATTACAGTAAAAAAATAATAAAAATAAATAAATAAAATAAATATATATTGTAGTGATAACCATGGTAACATTATGAGATGTTCTTATTACCATCATGCTATTGTACTATTCCAGATGTTACTAAATGTTACATAATACTTCCCTGGGATAAATGTATAGTATATATCAGGTGCTTAAAAGAAAGCTCAGGTTCTCAACTGGCTCAGCCATGTTAATATTGTTAATATTATCCACTCTGTATTTGTGTTTTTCTGGCTAAATAAACTGTTTCAATTCAATTCAGTACTGTATGTCAAGATGGAACTTGAAGACAATCAATTTGAATGGTAGTTTGCCTCCAATACTTCTATTACTCTCCCACATCTTTATACCTCTCCTTGATCTGTAAGCACAGTATTAAATGAAAAAAAAAAGTTTAACATATCCCCAAAGTAAATTAAAATCATATTTGTTAGAGCAACTTCATAAAAATCGTATGAGATACTGTACACAAAAACAAATACAGTATTACCCCGCCTAACGCGGTTTCACTTAACGCGTTTTATCATATACGCGGTGCCTCGCCAGAGCTGAACTTTCACTTAACACGGATTTTTTCCACATATACGCGGTGAGTGTCCGGCTCGAGACGCTATTTTTAGATTTGCCCCACCCTGCCTGACTGCCTGTTTTAGCTCATAAAATTCATACAAATTACCCGGCCAGAATATAATTTACATTGCTGGAATTCTTATAATTTGGTGATCATTTTGAATATAAACATCATATTTTTGCATTAGACATACAAATTTTAGATAAAAATTTTTCTCAAATTAACTATGTTATCTTTTGTGCAAAATATATGACATTTATATTCAAAATATTCCTGGTCTTACAAGGAATCCAGCAATGTCAATTATATTATCCTAACTTTAGTTTGAGGTATTATTTATTAAAATTTAGTGGTTATCCCACACATCTCCTTGGGACGGTTGGTGGGGGGTGGTGGGGAGGGAGGGACCGACCGACCATCTGTTACCCTGTGAAGAATTATTTTTTTTTTATTAACTGAAGATATTTGTTTTAGCTCATAAAATTCATACAAATTATCCGGTCTGAATATAATTTACATTGCTGGAATTCTTATAATTTGATGATCATTTTGAATATAAACATCATATTTTTGCATTAGACATACAAATTTTAGATAAAAATTTTTCTCAAATTAACTATGTTATCTTTTGTGCAAAATATATGACATTTATATTCAAAATATTCCTGGTCTTACAAGGAATCCAGCAATGTCAATTATATTATCCTAACTTTAATCTGAGGTATTATTTAATACTAAATGTTAAAAACCCTGGAAGGGAGGATTGGTGGGGGGTGGGGGGGAGGGTTGGGACTGACCGCGTGGTTGGAAGAGGGGGGGAGGCAAGGTGGGGTACTTTGATTGACAGATAGTGTTGTGAAGATTATTTTTTTTTTTATTAACTGAAGATATTTGTTTTAGCTCATAAAATTCATACAAATTACCCGGTCAGAATATAATTTACATTGCTGGAATTCTTATAATTTGGTGATCATTTTGAATATAAACATCATATATTTTTCATTAAACATACAAATTTTAGATAAAAATTTTTCTCTAGGTAACTATGTTATCTTTTGTGCAAAATATATGACATTTATATTCAAAATATTCCTGGTCTTACAAGGAATCCAGCAATGTCAATTGTATTATCCTAACTTTAGTTTGAGGTATTATTTATTAAAATTTAGTGGTTTTCCCCAAAAAATTTCTCTGAGAGGGAAGAGCCAGCGAGTGTAGTGTGAGAGAGGGAGGGAGTTGAGTCCATTATTTGAATGGACATTAACTTGGCGACTGTATTTCTCTTAAGTATTAATTGTGTGCATGTACCATCATAAAATTAAGATGTTATTTTTACTACAACATAGGTATGTGCCTTCAAAAAGTGGAGTTTGGGGGTCAGGCCGGTTTCTATTGGAATTAATCCCATATGTTCTGTTGTTCACTTAACGCGGATTTCACTTAACGCGGGACCCTCTGGGTTCAATTGACCGCGTTAAGTGGGGTACAACTGTATTGCAAACTTTAACCGCTATTATCTAAAAGGGATTTTGGCAAAATCGCCCTTCTTCCATCAAGCACCTCATATCAGCTTACTAGCTCTTTGTGATGACTTTCAATATCCAATGTTAGTACCCAGAGGAAACCTGTGATGTTTGGTATGGCCACACTGGATAACACCTTTCCCACATCTGTCCCGGGCCAGGATACAGTGGTGAAAGATAGGCACTTTACCACTAAACAGAAATGCAGTTATAAAAACTTTATCCTTGGAAATTGTAAAAAACAAAATAAGACTTCCAATATGTGATGGAGGGTAGAGACATGAATTCAGAGAGAGAAGGTAAGACAGAGTGAGAGAATTTGTTTGTATTGACGACTGATCTCCATGTACTTATGACCAAAACTCTCTTGCGAAAAGTTAAGTTTTGTTGACTTCTTGCCACCTACCAGTACAGTACAGTACAGTACATATGAATCTCTGGATATTAAAACCCTTGTGTATGGTGCTGCCTCCAAACTGAATAAAATCATCTGGTGTTAGCCAAATAAAATATTAAAAGTGGTGTCCCTGTAGAGAAGGGGTTAAAACAAAATTTCTTAAGTAATGTGTAAATTTCACTTACCATTTTATTTGCTTTACTGAAGTACACAACCACCATTATCCCAACCATCATCAGCAGACGAGTAATGATACGTCGCCACTCAATTCGAGGCCCTGGGTGAGGACTCTCCCTTTCAGAACTGCAAATTTGTGGGAGAATTAAATTAAATATACAGTATAATTACCGAATTTGTATTTTTTTTAGGTAAATATTAATCACAGATCTACAGCTTTTCCAGGGAAGAGGGAAGGAAACATGTTCAAAGCTTGAAACCATGGATTTCCAAAACAATTTAGGGTATAGTACTGTATAAAGTATGTACAGTATGGTATTTGAAAACATATAATCTCCATCTTCAATAACATATCACTCAGTGTTATCTTATATATTTTTTTTTCATAGCACATACAAAAATTTGCAGATGGAAAATAGTTGCAAATCCAAAGTTAAGGAGAGGATGATAATCTATACAGTATCTTTTTTATAAATAATTTTTTTCTTAAAATACAGTACATACCTGCTATGACTACATGTATCTGTCTTTGAAGGCTGCTTGACAATTCCTGGAGATTTTTGTGAGCTCCTCTGTTTTACTGTCATTTTGATGGAAACTGATGACAATCAACACACTAATATTCATAAATGAAGCCTGTGGATATAATTTTTTCCCTTGGTACTACAGTATGTGTGGACTGAAAAAATTAAATAAAGTTTTAGATATGTAATGATCAATTTCTAATTATACAATGAAGTCTATTTTTTCCACTTACCACCCACAATAACCCAGGTGGCAGCAGCACATCTTCTACCACACACTACATGTTTACCACATTTATTACTACAGTACAGTACATTACTGTACTGTACTGGGTACTTTAAACAATATCCAAGAATAACAGAATAGAACTGGAACCCCCTTATTGTAAAACTTTATGTTTTCATGAAATAAGTTGGTATTTTCTAATCTTTACTTTATTTAATCTCTTGATTTGGGTACAGATATACAGAATAGATAGACGGAAAGCTAGGTACTGTATCTGTTAGTTCCAAAATTGCTCAACCAGCTCATGAGTAAATTTACAAAACTTTTAACATAACAGCTGCTGAGAAATACTGTAGAATTTGATACAGGGTGTATTTCAAAAGTAATTTGACAAAGACAAAATCATATCAACTGAAGATTAATCACCCTAATGCTATCTAGAGGGTTAGCTTTGGTTAAATTAGGTTACAGTTAGGGCAGCATATTTTCATGTGGAAAATAAGCTGGGGGAATATGGTACGATATTTTTCCCTTTTACGGTACAGGTACAGTGCTGTACGGAAGTACAGTATCTTTTCCGTAACATCATATTTAGAGAAAGACTAATAATTATAGATGTATACACGAGGTCACGGCGATCCTGTCTGCATGTCACTTGTCAACTCAGTCATTATCAAAAAGACCATCAAGGTCTTGTCGATGTGCCGTCTGTGATGTGACAGTGGGATCTAAGTAAACTTGCTACCAGTCACAAGGGTTGACAGCTTGACATAATAATGTTATTGATGTCATGGCCATGGGTCAGCTAATCATTTATGTTATTTGCTTAATTGCCACCCACAAGAGGTGGCCATGCTAAGGGAAGGAGGCCAGTGGCCTGTGTAGGATCCCTCCATTGTTCTTGATAATTTTGTCAAGAGCTACTTTGAAGCCCAGTACACTTGTACTGTACTGTTATTGGAAATTTATGAGGAAACTGCTCCCACCAGAAAACATTTATGGATTTCCTTTTGATTTTTACTTGTTGTTTTGGTGATTCTAAGTACTGTACTGGTTTTAGAAAGAGCAACAACTTTATATGTAAACTTTTAGTATTTGTTTCATTTTCCTTTATCTACAATCATAAATCACCTATAGTGGGCAGGGAATGAAAAATGGGGGAAATTGTAGGGTAAAACAGTGAAAAGTTGATCATATGACACTAAAATGATGTTTCTACGTGCTTTGTATGTGAAGAAATTAAATATTTACCATAAATACTCCTCTGAAAAATCTGCTGTTGTCTGCGCTGTTTGTTTAGAAATGACCTGCTCAGTCCAAGCATACTGTCACGTCCACCAAAAATATAAAATTACACCTTGATGCCTAAAAAAATGCTTTCATTGATACCAGATATCAAAATAAGTACTTTCTGTTTAATATGGCAGTGGATTCAGGGGCTAGGAAGTTACGTAAGGTTAGGTAAATTTCTTTGGTTGATTAGGTCAGGTTTTGGTAATTACCCCATATTCGAATAGTGACCATCTGCTGTTTTTCATTTAAAATGGATTTAAAAATACTGTACTTAATTTTCACTTATTAGGGGATACTGTATTATGTTGGTAAAAAATCTAAAAATGGCTGAATTCATGTGCTAACTTAACCAAACCTAAACTATATCATAACTCGCATCTACCTAGAAAACTAAGCATTTACATAAGAAAATGAATAGAACTGAAAGTAAACAGCATACAAAACTGTGTCTAAAATCACCCTCCATAATAACTGAACCACTGATGGTCACCAGTCATATATTAGTCCAGGTTTTATTAAGTTCTAGTAATTGTAGTGACAAATATTTAGTATTGCCAACAATATCTATCTGTGATCCCCCTAAGTAGATATATTTGTCAATTTACTGGTGAATCTGTGTCTACCAAGAGAGGTGTAGGCCCACCAAGCTCCCCTCAGTGCCTCGGCTTGTAATCTGAGCCCTGTCCACCCCCACCGTCCCACCAGCTGACCACACAACTACACCATGCCCCTACTGCCAGCTACTCAGCCCTCACTAGCTCCAATATGTCTAAGTTGGCTGTTAGTATCAAACCTTCAAATTTCACGAAACAACAGCTGACTGATGTGATAATGGAAGTCCAACGAACTCTCATACAGGACATCATACAACAAATGAATAAGGAGACCATCAGGAAGCTAGAAGAAACTGACCGGCATCTCACTGATCAGCTAAGTGAGATTAAAAGAAGCTTGGAATTCTCGCAAGGGGAAATAAGCAACATACAAGCAAAGTTGAACGTTGAAGCTAAAGAGAATCGAACACTCAAGACCCAAGTTCAACAGATGAGTGAGGAGAATTCCAAGCTCAAAATGGAACTAACGACAACAGCAGACCGGGTGGATTGTGTGGATGACATAGGGCGGCGAAACAACCTCAGGACTGCCAGAGTCCCTGAAGATATCCACGAGAACTGGGAACCATCCCAACGCAAAATTTCACGCCAGCTGAATGAACATTTTAAACTTCCTGAAATAAAGTTTGACTGTGTTCAACGTGTCGGGAAATCCAACTCCTCCCGCCCCCGCGGCATCATAACAAAATTCTCATCCCCCTCTGACCGTGACAAAGTGTTTTATCAGAGCAGTAACTGAAAGACACCACTATCTTCGTCAACGAGGATCTCTGCCCAGGTACGACTAAAGCCCGTCTACAGCAAATGGACCAGTTTAAAGAAGCCAGAAAACAAGGGAAACACGTGACGTTCAGTCATAAAACCCTTGTTGTGAGGAATCGGGCAAGTGGACACCCGCCCACTCACCCACCCACTGTACCCCAACCACCCAAGCCCCTCGAGAACCCCTCCCCACTGAGGGGGAACCAGCCACTGTCGCTATCACTTGGGGAGTCCCCCCCTGCCGGCCAACTCGAGTACTACAAGTCTACCCTCTGTGGTGGAAACCAGCAGCCCTCAAAACCGAGTGACAGGCGCACCTCCCACTCTATCTGGGAATCACCCTCAACAGTACCGGTCATCCTAATTATGTTGGTTGTAGCACTTGTGAGTACGTTACCCTCCACTATTATAATTTTCATAGATCTTCCTTTTTCACACCTCAGTGACTCTGAGTTTTTCTGATCTTTAATCAGTATCAATGTTCCCACAATGATGATGCTAGTGTCATTCCCTTAGATGTGCTAGATCGTATGTGTTACACCCCATTTACCCATGGTGTCGACACAATACTCCCTCATATCGATCCTGATGCCTTTCTACAAAACTCACTGGGTTACACCAACCCCAACTGTAACTATTACTTTCCTGACTCTCCTGAGTTTAGTTCTAGTCTTCTACTACCTCATTCCTTCTCCTTGATTAGCCATAACATCAGCAATACTGTATTCCCCTTCATCTACCGTAGATACCTATTTAGATCAGTATTTATCTTCTATTGCCCACAAATTTGATGTACTTGGGTTCTGTGAGACCAAACACACTAACGATATTGACCATTTGTATAACATTCCTAATTATAAAAGACACTGCATCAACACGTCACAACACAGTGGAGGTGTCGCCCTATATGTTGATATCAAGTGTAACACTTCTGCAAGAGATGATTTAAAGGTTCAGGAGGAGTACATGGAGAGTGTTTTCATTGAATTAAGTAACGATTCACGAAATATCCTAGTAGGAGTAATCTACAAAAGACCCCACACTAATGTAAGGAATTTTCTTGATAAATTTTTGGAGCTTATCACTATCATAAGTTCAGAGAGGAAACATTGCTACATTACAGGAGATTTCAACCTCGATCTATTAAAATCAGAAACCGACACAACAGTATTAGACCTTCTCCTACACATTTGTAACTCCTCCTTCACTAGTGGTGTCTTTCCGAATAAACTGAAAATTGCTAAAGTTCACCCAGCATATAAAAAATCTGGGTACAAAGGTCTCTTCAAGAATTACTTCCCCATATCAGTCCTCCCAGCCTTGAGTAAGATACTAAAGAAGCAAACATGAAGTAGACTAAATTCCTTCTGCAATGCCAATAACATCTTTACAGACTCCCAGTTTGGATTTAGAACTAAAAGGTCGACTGAGAGTGCTCTGCTATCCTTTACGAATGACATCTTAAATTCCTTTGATGACAGTCAGTTCACACTCGGTATATTCTTGGACCTTCCTTTAAATCATCTCTTAAAAAATATCTATTGTCTAAGTATTTATATTTCTTGTAATACCTACTAAATTTAGACTACCTGCTTTTAGTGTACCATCAAAACCGTTTTATCGGAAATTATCATGTAAATAGCTAAGAAATTACCATTGCAATAAACATAATTACCAACTAGACATAATCCTGACAGCACTGTCCTCTTGTTCAACCTTAATACTGTACAACCCATGTTGTACTGCTCCCCCATTCTACTTATGTTTTTCAATTCCATTGTAATTTATGTACTGTATACATATTTTTAATACAGTATAAGTATAAATAAAAAAAACTAAAACAAAAAATAATAATAATAAATGAATAAAATAAATAAATATTGAAGTGATAACCGTGGTAACATTGAGATGTTCTTATTACCACCATGCTATTGTACTATTCCAGATGTTACTAACTGTTACATAATACTTCCTTGAGATAAATGTATAGTATAGTATATATCAGGTGCCTAAAAGAGAGCTCAGGTTCTCAACTGGCTCAGCCATGTTAATACAGTGATCCCTAGGTTAACGAACGACTTGGTTTACGAAATTTTGGTTAACGAATTACCTTCCATAAGAATCTTCAATTCGGTTAACGAAATTCATACAAAATCATGTCAACATGTTTTCCCTTGCTCACCAGCTGGAATATTAGTCCGCTAATACAGTAATCGGTTCTAGGGCTTAAATTCGTTCCCATTTGAGTAAATATCAAGAAGGTTGTACTATTCAATAATTTTCCAAGTTTTATATTAAATTTTTTAGTCATTTTAACACTTATTTAACATAATTGCAGTACAGGAAACTAGTTTTTGGTGCGCCAATCAGCCACTTGACTCACCCACAAAGGCGTCAGTTTGTATCTCTAGTCAGTGGAGGTAACATCTTGCTTGTGGCTCTCTCTTGAACATAAACTATTTTTACATTTTTACAGTACAATTATTGGTTATTCTTAAATTTATTTTACATATTGACAATATATAGTGCAAAGCAGTGTTGATTTAAAGAAAATAATGGGTGAAATGATGGCATGAAGCATGGGGTGATTTCTCTTCCAACTCCACTTCCTTCTCTTCTCCCTTCTCCTCCACCCCCACTTCTAATTCCCATCATCATCATCAACCAGGAGCCTTCTACATACACACCTCAAAGTAAGTGCACTTTACTGCATTTATTTTTACTTTGTATGTAATTTTCGGTGAGCTGGAACCAATTACCCAAAATCCCATTGAAACAATGGTTTCAGTTAACGAAATTTTCAGTTAACGAACGACCTTCTGGAACGAATTGTGTTCGTTAACCAAGGGACCACTGTACAGTATTGTTATTATTATCCACTCTGTATCTGTGTTTTCTGACTAAATACACTGTTTCAATTCAATTCAACCTAATGACTTTTGAAATTGTTTTTTTTTAATGTAAAATCATTAAATACAAATATGACCTTCATTGCAGTCGGAAATTAGCCATTGTTAAGATATTGAAAAAAAAATGGAGGGTCAAAAATGCAAAAACCTTAAAAAACCTAACCTAACCTAACTTAACCCTGAGAATGTAAACAACATATCTTAAGTAAGAGATACAGGAGGATAGAGATATGCAACTTGAATGAGGAAATGGTGCAGTATGGTGAACTCGTCTGTGTGATGTGCCTGGAACATATATCATGCATGGCGATCTACACGGTACTGACACTCTGAATTACATCTCGGACACTTTACAGATGAAACAAGAACACCGCGACTCCGTGAGCTCTAAAAATGTCAACGACTGCTGCTTCAATGTCCAAAATGCACTGAATAACGTGCCAATGACCAAATGTACAATCTTCACACACAGACGCCACCTTCCAGTTGCCCGCAAATTGAGACTTGTTCGGATTGGTGCACGAGTATTACATCACATTGGCACACGCTGATTGGCACGCATGACTATGACGTCACAATCTTGACATCAACACTCAAGCTGATTGGCCTAATATTGTAAAATAAACGTTAAATAACTAAAAAAATATACATTTCTGATGGAAACGTTATAGATTTTTTGTCTCTTTCTCCTTAAATATGACTCAATATTCAGTCAGGTGTTGGAAGCTACTAAATATTAACCATTGTAGCCTCGTTTAAAATACTTACTACGGTAAAATGATGAAAACATGTGGAAAATATGAACGCTATCAAACTTTTTCTGGTCATAGCAGTGTTCTCACAATTAAAGTACCTTCAAATTTGCCCAAAGTCATGGATTTTCTCTCTTAGAACAATTCTGGGTTAATATTAATCTATTGGCAGTCTGCAGGTTTCAAATTTTAAATATTACAAACACAAAGTCTATAAAAAAACAAACATATGATTTCATATCATTTCTGGTGCAAATCAGTATTAACGGAGTATCTCGCAAATTTCTAGCCATAGATTTCTGTACCCGCCATGTTGTCAGAATCACTTTTCTCATCCTTTCCTCCTCTTTGCAATATGACAAACACTGATCTTCAGGTATCATGTCATGTGACTTGGCTGGGCAATGATTTTGAAGCAGCCATTTTGAAAGCTCGTGATGGCATGCAAAAAGTGCTCTCCCCCTTACTGGATATTTTTCAGTGACTTTATCAGGACAATAGTGAAGCAATCCAAATATTACAAGGTCACAGTGTCCTACCAACATCAAAACTGTGTACTACGTGTGGAAATTGTTTATTTTTAAGAAAAGACGGAAATTCTTGTCTGTAACCATAAGCGTACCAGATCGCTCCGGTCCGACTAATTACCCAAATGTAGCCAAATATAGCCGCAATGAAGTCAAATGATGGTCGTACAAGCGTAATTCGGGCTGTGAATCACTTCTCGATTATTATTTGGTGTCATAAAGTAAAAAAAAATTGGTAAACTTAATTTAATCTGAGTTGTGTTGTGTTAGGTTAGGTTAGATTAGATTAGGTTAGGTTAGGTTAGGTACATGCACTTGATCTATTAACTCAGATTAAATTAAGTTTACCAATTTTTTGTGACTTTGTGACACCAAATACTAGTCGAGAAGTGATTGGCAGTCCGATTTATTCATCTAGGACCATTATTTGACTTCATTCCGGCTACATTTGGGTACATTTGGGTAATTAGTCGGACCCGATCGCCCAGCTGTATCCTCCACCAGTCGCAGGGAAGCTCCAAAAAATGGTTATGTTAAGTTAGGTTAAGTCAGGTCAGGTTGGTTTGTGATTTTTGGTGTTTTATGGTGTGTTTTACTCAAACCTGACCGCCATGTTGGTGCAAGTTAGCGCTTTCTGTTATAAATGAAAATTTTCATTTTTGGGTAAAAAAATACTAATTTGCACCAGAAATGCAGATTTGAGTAATACACACACACACACACAAAACTATTTTTGTATCAAAACCTGGGGACAGCCAATAGACGAATATTTTTGTGAACTTAGAAATAGGCTGACAGACCTCTTTTTATATTTTTCGAGGGTCGAAAAGCAGATGCCACTGCAAACAAAGAGGAAATTAGCTTTCCCATTTGATAATTAAGTATTCATGACAATAGAAGTGCGAAATTTCATTAATTTACAGAAGACTCGCTATGTCAACAAACAAATTACTAATGTACAGATTAAAAGATAATACACAGTATACCTGTTTTGCCTATGTACTTATTTATCCAAGCAAAATGTATATTAAAAAAAACCCTATCTAAGAAGGTGTTAACATAACCATGACTGTCTTGTAGGGAGGCATATGCTGTAAAACACGTCACCTTCAGTTGAGTGTTGCAGTTGTGTTGACATGTCTGTGATCCTGTTCCTGAAGGCCAAACCCATACCTTCATTGGCCAAACCCTCGAAGGTTTTTTTATAAGTTTAACAAATTTATTGACAAAGCTTGGAGTACAGTTTGCCTATTCTGAGTAATTGAGTCAGCTCTTGACACTGAGGGTGAGCTAACTGTATCCGATCACGTTTCTTGAAAGTACTTAGTACTTTGTAGAAAACTTTCAAATGACGAGGTATAACCTAGATATTTTGAGCACTATGAACACGTCAAATAAAAGGCAAGGGGAAAACACAATGTTCGAATTAATGTTGTTTAATTAACACATAAATAAATACACATATACCGGTTACATACGTATATATATGTAAAAATCAATATTTATTTAGTAATTACATCAATCAGTTGTTGGACATCAACGATATTGATATTCATTCCTTCTTTACACTTAACATATTCTTCCATAGTGATAAGGGCATTTATCGTTTGCATTTGCAAGGCGTTTCTACTTTGTTTTGGAAAGGTTCATTTTTTAAGTTTTTCAGCGTCTGCATTAAACTATGGCAAATGGCAATGCCAAGACGTCCAACGTAAATTTTCCAGTTCCATCATGTTTAAGATTTCCGTTGTCATCTTTCATTTTTATTACTTTCTTATAAAAATTTAATATATCCAAACATTTTGTTTCCTCATCTATTGTCTCCCAGCGTAGCCTTCGCCACTGATCATTTAACTCCTGAAGGGTTCCATTAAATATCCTTGGTATTGTACCTTCCCTACAACCGCCGTTTGTCGCTGACTAGCCGACCCCTCTTCGAATTCCCCAGCTTACGCCTCGTGGTCTAGGTCGGCAACCAGCGCCACCTAACAAGGCGGAGGTCAACTATCAACCCACGCCTACCCCCGCTCACCCCGCCGTGACCTGGCTCTTCTACCTACAGGCTACAGCCACCAGCAAGCAACACCACCTCTGCTCCTGCCTGGTGGCTCTCGCTCTCGCCGGCGACTATGGCGCCCCACAAGCTGGTGTCCTCCTCTGAGCACGCTCCCCAACCAGCTCTCTCTACATCACGCTTGTAACCACGCTGCCACTCCTCAGCACCAAGCTGCATTGTACATCCAATACAATATGTATACAGAGAGCACATTGTGAGTTTCCTTTCTCCAACCCATCCTGAGTGTGAACCAATATCTCATAACCCCACATTATCAATTCAACCAAGTCTGACAATGATGTTATTGGAATCGTTGGATCAAGGGTTTTTTGGGTATTAAGAAATAGATCATTACTTTTTTATACTTCACCTTTATCCTCATCACCACTGATCGGCTTGGTAGCCGCTTGGGCGATTGGCAAGTACTGGGCATGCACTGGCTCCTGAATGTATCTGAACCTGCTTAAGTGCTTGTCAAGTCTTGTCTTGAAACAGCTCACACTCAGTGCTGTCACAACACTGGCAGATTGTTCCAAGAGTTCACAACTCTCACTCTGAAAAAGTTACCCCTCACAATTTTCTGGACTTGCCGCTACTTCAATCTTGAGCTGTGACCCCTTGTGGGGCGAGCGTCCGCCAGCTCCAGGTAAGGACACTCGACTGAGTAGTGCCCTCTGAGATGTTTATATACCTCAATTATGTCCCCCCTGTCCGTTTGTGGTATAAGCTGGGCAATTGCAGGCGCTCTAATTTCTCAGGGTAGCTGAGGTGCCGAAATGCTGGCACCAGCCTGATGGCCCTCCATTGGATATTTTCAATCAACTGACAATCCCTAGCATCTCAGGGACTAGACGAGGTGACAGTACAGGTATTCAACTTATACTTTTATCCTTTTATCCTCTTCACCACTGATCGGCTCGTTAGCCGCTTGGGCGATCGGTCACGTCTCTGATTACTTTTCCTTTTCTTTTATCCTCTTCACCAAAAGATCAGCTCGCTAGCTGCCCGGGCGATCGGTCACTTTTCTGTCACGCACTGTTGGCAAATACTGGGCATGCACCGGCTCCGGAATGTACCTGAACCCGCTCCAGTGATGGTCAAGTCTTGTCTTGAAAGAGTTCACACTCGGTGCCGTCACAACACTTTCTGGTAGATTGTTCCAAGAGTTTATAACCCTCATTCCGAAAAGTTTGCCCTCACAATTTTCTGGACTTGCCGCTACTTCAATCTTGAGCTGTGACCCCTTGTGGGGCAAGCGTCTGCCAGCTTCAAGTAAGGGCACTCGACTGAGTAGTGCCCCCTGAGATGCTTATACACCTCAACTAGGTCACCCCTTGCCTGTCTGTAGTATAAGCTAGGCAAGTTCAGGCGCTCCATCTCTCAGGGTAGCCGAGGTGCCGAGTGCAGGCACCAGTCTGGTGGCCCTCCTTGAACATTTTCAACCAACTGACAGTCCCTAGCATATCTCGGGGACCAGACGGGGTGACAGTACTCCAGATGGGAAAGCACTTCACTCTTGAAGATCCTTACGAGGGACGGACAATCTAGATATCTGAACGACCTTCTTATAAGACCCAATAATTTATTTGCCTGATTTACTACCTTCTTCTTGCAATGACCCAAGAACTTCAGCTCATTGTCAACATACATACCTAGGTCCTTCTCACATTCAGTCTCAACTAGTGCAGTTTCTTCATCCCGTTGGGACATATGATACGCCTCCCTACCATTGGTACGCCCCAGGTGCATCCTCTTACACTTCGTGACATTGAATCTCAGCAGCCATTTCTTCGACCATTCTTGGAGCCCACAGAGGTCCTTCTGCAGCTATTCACAGTTCACTTGGTTCTTGATTTCCAGAAATAACTTGGCGTCATCGGCAAACATTGGTAAGGAGGAGTGTACAACGTCAGGCACTTGTATCAATTGTATCACTATCCACCACAGAGGCTTGCAGGGCCTCTTTGTCAAACCCCTCAAAGTTCATATCCTCACTATCACTGACTTGGGCCGGCTGTGGTGGGTGGCGGGTGAAGAACTCAGGAATGTTTTGTTGACTGGGCGACCTAGTGCGCACTCTGCCCACGCCGCTTCCCGCGTACACAATGGAATGTACTGCGTAACTAATACAGTGACCCCTCCGTTAACGAACTCAATCCGTTCCAGAAGGTCGTTCGTTAACCGAAAAGTTCGTTAACCGAAACCAGTTTCAATGGGTTTTTGGGTAATTGGTTCCAGCTCACCGAAAATTTCCTAAATTCAACAAAAATGGTAGAAAAGTTCACTTACTTTGAGGTGTGTATGTAGAAGGCTCCTGGATGTTGATGATGGGATTTAGAATGGGGTTGGAGGAGAAGGAAGAGAAGGCATTGGGGTGGAAGAGAAGTCACCCCATGGTGCCATTTCACCCATAAAATTTTAGCTCTCTGGTGTAATTCAAGATTATTTTCTTTAAATCAACACTGCACTGCATTATATATTGTCAATATTTAAAATCTATTTCAAAATGACCAATAATTTGCTTGGAAACACAGAAAAAAAGCATTTAGTTGAAGAGAGTCTCAAGCAAGATGTTACCTCCAGTGAAAACAGAGAGAGACTAACGCCTGTTTGCTGTGTGAAGAGGCTGGATGCCGCGCGTTAAACTAGTCACTTTACCTTCAATTATGTTCAATAATTGTTAAAATGACTAAAAAATTGAATATTAAACTTTTAAAAATATTGAATAGTATAAACTTCTTGATATTTACTAAAATAGTAAGGAATTTAAGCCCTAGAACCGATTAATGTATTGGCGGACTGATACTAAAGCTGGTTGCCCGGTCAGTGCAAGCGAAAACATGTTGAGGTCGGTTCGTAAGAAGCATAATGTGTTGTCTAATGGTAGACCCTGCTGCCATATGGCATCACGAAAATTGTGACCAAGTCCCAGGTTGTTGATCTGACTTTCTGCCTCATTTACACACTAGGAAGACGCACTTGGTAGTCCCAGGACCGGCCAATACCGATGACAACCCCAACCTTGTCCCAGCGGTGAGATACCGGATCTTGAATCCTGACCTGCTGGCCGATACTCAACCTGGGAAGGGGGCGGGCATGACAGTCGTACCGAGCAGCGACATCTACGGTTCGTTCTGCTGCACGGCGGTCACATTCTTCAGTCTTGGCTTGCCATTCTTGAGAAAAAGACTTCGGGTGGGCAGGAACACAAGACCTGAGATGATGTCCATATAGAACCTGGGCTGGGGAGCGTCCGGTAAAGTTCGGGGTGTTGCGTAACTCAAACAAACCTCGATCGAAATCAATCTAAAGTCCCTAGACCTTAGCTCAAAGCACTAACAAGGATGATGGCCAGCTCAGTGTACACCATGGTAAAACAAACAGTGGCGTAGCTAGAGTGTGTGCGCCGGCCCTTGAGTTTGCCCCGTGCCCCACAAAAAATACATATTGCACAGTGACTCACTCTTATATATATATATATATATATAAATATATATATATATATATATATATATATATATATATATATATATATATATATATATATATATATATATATATATATATATAATCAACACCTCAACCGCCAGGATTGAACCTGACCCACAAGCCTATGACTGTGACCGGGGAGGCTAACCGCTGGACCACCAGGATACTAAAAAGCAGTCCTAGACTTTGTTATATTTCACACAAAGCCTGTTCAGCGAGCTTATGGCACGTGAACCTCTAATGGGTTCCGAATCTGAGGTGTTGATTATGTAGAAATCGCGTGCTTTATTGGGCTAATGAAATATATATATATATATATATATATATATATATATATATATATATATATATATATATATATATATATATATATATATATATATATATATATATATATATATATATTAAATAGTTTGTGTACCATTATAATATTACTGTACTTTCACATACTCAAATATAGTATGCTTTAAATACACATCAAACATACTTAAACTTTATAAGTTTCCTTAATCCTCAACAGGTTACAGGTTGTGTGTGTGGCGGGGGGGGGGCGCATAGCAAGGGTGTAGCTCATGACGTGGCCGTGATGATGTGGGTCAGGTGTTAGGTCAGACACGACAAGGATTAACTTGCCGCCGATACAAAGGGATGGATTAACGTCTCCAGTAGCTGCAGATATGGGTGATGAGCAGACCCAAAAGTGCCGCCCGGGGCGGACCGCCCCCCCCGCCCCCCCCTAGCTACGCTAGTGAAAACAAAGCCCACAAAACCCTGCTTGTTCACACGATGGAACAAGTGACTATGTGTTACTACCAACTTCAGACATGGTGGAAAATCTAAAAACATACTGTATAAATATTGTGGTGATTCAATGGAAATTTGAGAAATACAAAAAAATTATTATAATTATTGTACTAGTAATTTGTTTCATGGGCTTATTATTCACTAATGTTCCTTTACTCATATTTTATTGACAGAAATACATAATTAATTTTGAATAAAACACATTACATTATGTTGTTATGAATACAATACAGAACTGTACTGTGCAATACTTGCCTTCGCAAATGCTAAATATCATCTAATTCTAAGTCAATTATGAAAACTTTGATAGCCACTGGATAAATAATTGATACTGTACTGCAGTGACATTATTTTTGTTGTTGCAAAAATCCAATAAAATCTAAAATAAATATTCTAAAATCAAACGGCAGTATCACAGATGGTACTGCACATCATATTCACACCTGGAAGTTCTAGACTCTAGAGTCAAGTTACTCAGATGCTTGGTAGAGCTTAATGACTAAGTTACCGTGATTCATGCTTTATATTTTATAGGTAACTGTACTTTTATCCTATTTGCCAGTGATCAGCTCGTTAACCACTTGGGCAGCTGCTCATATCTCTGTTACGCTCTGTTGGTAAGTGTTGCACATGTACCGGCTGCTGAATGTATCTGTACCTGTGCCAGTGTCAGTCTAGTCTGGTCTTGAAAGAACTCACAGTCGGTGCCATCACAATACAATCTGGTAGATTCCAAGAGTTTATAATTCTCACAGCTTATTCTAAAATTACTAAAAACATGCAACCAATGAAAGGAATTATTATATTATCGCAGTAAAAAATAGATAAAAACATTATATGTCATTTGTGGGATGGCAGCCCCAAGCATGAAAGATTACCTGCCCAGGGCACAGATTTGGCTGGTGTTCAGTTCATCACATACTACAACAGAGGAATGCTACACCATCCTTAGACCTTACTTGGTCCCAGAAATGAATCATGATTGAGAGTCCATAATCTGTAAACTCTAACTGAAGCCTAGGGTCAGTTTGTAGCAGACAGACACTGAAGAATCACTATGCAGAAGTTTTTTAGTATAGTATTTAATCCATCATATTTATATTATGATATTTAAAATGATAATAACTTTTCTCAGTTGATCTCTGATAATTTCCACACTTGAAGAAGCAAAAATTAACACGTGAAGAGCTCTGGTAACATAAATATCTTGATGAGAATAAAATAATACAAAAAAAAAGAGATTAAAAAATTTCAGTGATCTCCTCCACAGCGCTGCTTGACATCACATGGTGAGGAGGAGTTAATGTCACAGAATTTGTGTTTTCTTTATATTTATAATTAGTGCATTTCACATGCTAATTTTTGCTTCCCCAAATGTGGAAATCAACATAAAGGTTATTATAGCTTAAAATATCATAAAATACATACGATAGATTAAATACTGAAGAAATGTGTCCGTCTGTCTACGAAGCAACAGCCTTGCTACAAAATGACCCAAGTCCTCAATTGCAAGCATTGACACAGACTAAAGAATGCTCTCACTTAAGCCATCTGTTATAAATATGAAAATATGGTACGTATAACTTAACAAGTTAAAAAGTACTTTTTGTCTGTCATTATGAAGTACTGTAATGAGAATGAGTCCTGTGTTATCTGGATCTTTGTGTCTGTAGACATAGAGTACATTAGTACAAGCCACAAAGTGTTTTCTATATCAAATTTAATTTTGATGAAACTTTGTATGAATGTTCAAGCAGCCAAAATTGACAAGAAATTCAATAAGTTCAGTTACAAGTTTTAACAAGGTTGTATGGACAGGTGCTCCAAAGTATACAGTTTGCCAACAGCAACATGGCACAAATTTACAAATTTCAAGGAATTTGAGATAGAGATTCAGCCCAATGGTCATCTTCCTCTTCTTCTGGTAGCTGATAGCAACCACGCTTCAGCCTTACCAGATCTCCCCATAGTATTGTGATGCCACAAACTGGACAAGAACCTTCTATGGGGAGTATCTGCCCGGGTGACTCTTCTTGCAACATGTGGCTTGCAAGGCATCTGATGTGAGCAACCAGTTGACAAGATGAAGACAGACATCTGAAGAGTAAAAATGAAATACAATATTTCAAACAATATTCCATGTCAAGTGTTGGACCATAAATGTTAATGGCAATGTTGTTTATGAACAGCATATTAAGTGTTGCCCTAAAGTAAGTCAACTAATTTGATCTTCCGTTCATTAGGGGCAGATCCAGGAATATCAAGGGTAAGTCCAAGAAGTTGTGGGTGGGGGAACATGGCAAGCACAGAGAGCCCACTCAGCTAGGATTTTTTTATTTTTTGGTCGGGGGGGGGGAGTGCTGTAAGCTCCCCAGAAATTTTTTGGAAATCTGACCAATATCATAGGCATTTTGAAGCCATGTACACTTAATATTAGGAGATATTCTTAGGTCAATAGTAATTACTTTTTACTATACAAAAACTCCTGAGTACAATACTGCAATAAAGAAAAAGTATTGGAATTTTCTGATGAAAAGTGGGGTCCAGACCGCAGGTCCCTCCCCAATCTGCCCCTGGCTTTGTGTTGCTACAGAAGCAAGGAAAAAAATCCAGACTGTTCTAAGGATTTACTGGATAGCTTTAAGTCTGATGAGTTGATTGATATGTGCAACACACACGTGTATACACATATACTGTACACTCGGTAAAAAAACTACCATTACAATTCCTGCGCGAAACAAACTGACACTACACACGAAGTTTTCAAAAAGACCCTTTATGGGTTCGGTCACAAGTGCTCGAAACACGTGATCGGCACTCTGAAACAAATCAGTGATAATACCGCCACATTAACACAATTTGAAACTTGATCGGAACGCTATGCCTCATTTCTCCATGTCGAATACACATTGTGAGAGGTGTTGTAGCAGCCTAATATTGTGATTTATGTAATTAGTGCTACCAACATTTCCTGATATCTTACATAAAGAATGTGTATGTTACATGAACTGTGGAGCTATTCAGATGTTTCGGAACAACATGGTATATTTTCCAATGGTAATAAAGAATGGTGTGTGGAACATTTAATATAACATGCAGTTTAACTTATCTGGAATATATTGACATTCTCCAGTCATATTGTAACAAAATAATTCAATACCCCTGTATTGTCAATAAAATAGCTAATTTCGGCCTACCAAATTAAGTACGAAATGTCTCACATTCAGGCCCACCAACCCACACGAGACAACGGGAATATTCAGTTGGAAAATCATCAGACCCCACCTATACGATAATTTTTTACCAAGTGTACAGTACATTGGTGTTAAACAATAAAAATAATGCACATCAAAATTAAAATGCAACAGCATATTCATAAAAATACTGTAGATGACTTACCTCATTATATCAGTGTGTTTAGCAGTGTCTTCACAGATAACACACTCAACATCATTCTGGTCTGATACATCAGTCTTTCCACTTGATGCTGTAAATTTAGCCGGCTTTACTGGACCATAAGCAATAGGCATGTGAACTGGTGGCTCCATTCCTGCCTTAAAAGTAAAAATACAATTTTAAATAGTTTCAACTCATGTGAAATAGTACTTCCTCAGGTCATGGTCAATAATGATACAAGAAATCATTTAGTTGTGTCTGTATCAAATGATAAAAGTATAATGTATAGCATGAGCTAGTACAGCACAACACTCAGTCACCTTCTGTTTACTGTATTGTACTTAGCCATGTCCACTGGTTTTGCCTGTTGGCTTATATATATATATATATATATATATATATATATATATATATATATATATATATATATATATATATATATATATATATATATATATATATATATATATATATATATATATATATATATATATATATATATATATATATATATATATATATATATATATATATATATATATATATATATATATATATATATATATATATATATATATATATATATATATATATATATATATATATATATATATATATATATATATATATATATATATATATATATATATATATATATATATATATATATATATATATATATATATATATATTCTCAGTAGCAGTAATATTTGTCCAATGCTATGTCAGACTTGATTAACTCTAAGTTATGGTTAGTCCAGCAATAGCCCATATTGACTGATAGGTAGTACTGTAGTCCTTTGGCTAGAGCTGTTTGCTTCATTGGTAGTACAGGTACAAGTTCACAGTGACTCTTCTTGTTACTAAATTACCATCCTCTCAAATTTGTCTTAGAGTGTAATACCTGTCGTACCATGTTACTTAAATATCCTATGGCTATTATGTGCACATCTGGAATTACCTTTATGTATGATACTAGAGTGAAACGATAAAGGCGAGTGAAATAAGAATAAATTTGTGGTTTTGTCCACCCTGCATCAGAGGCAAAAGGCTTGTGTGAATAATAATCATAATGCAGTAAAGTAATAATAATAAAACCCACGGCATTCATATAAAGTCTGTAAAAAAGCACATCTTTACTCTTTTATACTGTACTGCACTATTATATCACATAAACAGACAGCCACAATGTTACAGTGAGAATTAACCCATGTATTCAGTAATAATTAAACAAAACTAAAATTAATTCCACTTATCTGGATTAAAATAAATACAATAGATACTACTTTAACACTTTCCATGTCCTACATAACTTACAGGAAAGTCCTTCATATATTGTTGCTTCACCCATCTGATAGTAAGTGGCAGGCGGGACCATGGTTTTGTGCGTAGCATGTGCGCTACAACACGAAGACAAAAATCATATTTTTGTTCTCTAGCTTTTTTCCGAGCCACATCTCGAAGGCGACGGCTTCTTTCAGGATGCTGCCAAGCCCATTCAAACTGAAAAATTTATAGACAATATACAGTGTATTGCAATATTAAAACATATACTGTACCTGTACAGTATACATACAGTACTGTATCATACACTAAAAATATCCAGTTGTGAGGTGCTCTGCTACAGTTTGTCACTAATTAGAATACTCGATAAATTCATGAATACTGTACAGTACTGTACAAGGAATAATTATTCCCACTAAGTTAAAAAGTAAAGAGCAGGCATAAGACAGTCCAAATAGAAATCATAATCTAGTACAGTTCTGTAACTAATAAATAGAGATATTTGTATGTGAGTGATGTAGATGCCTCCATCAAATTCCATAAATATAATGTAAGTTATTAAAATGCACAAATATAATATTAATATATGACCATCACTCCTCTTTTGTAGTTAATGAACTATGAATTTACTGTATCATAGCTACTGTATACCAAAAAAAAAAAAAGAGCTACATGCTGTACTTACACGAAGAGCTGAAATATCATTGGGAAATCCATGAACAATCAGCACCATTTCCCTGAAAAGACATCAAGCATTTTCACAAAGGTTAGTACCAATTAAAATTTTCAAACTTCTGCAATTACATGCTACCTGTTACTGTACCTCCTACAACCCCACGTAACATTGAAAGAAAAAACTCAGTGACCCTGGTGAACATTCATGAAAATACTTACCTAATGCTACCTGTTAAGTTAGGGTAGATTATGTTATGTTATGTTATGTTATGTTATGTTATGTTATGTTATGTTATGTTATGTTATGTTATGTTATGTTAGGTTAGCATTAGGGTGGTTAATCTTCGGAGCAAATAAGTCTAATATTCAGTGATCTTTTTTGTGTGTGATTAAAAAAGAAGAGTACTGACTATACTGATCTGTCCTTCAGTAAGCTGTACGAGATTAAAAACAACTTAAAGATTTATTTACCATGGGCCTCTATTATTAGTCCTGTGAGCTCCTCCAGCCCTGACTCCTCGGTTATGTTGCCTGATGCGCCGGTTGGGATTCACAGTATAGCCAATATATGTACGGCCATGGTACTGTGGGTTGATACAGTACAATAAATAAACCCCATAAAAATCCTCTACAACTTCTGCTCCTTCTGCCATTCTGAGGTGGGAACAATTTGTGAATTACAACACTTGTACAGTATACTGTATACCTGAAAAAGAAAAAGTTCATCAAGATTCAAATACACAATTTAAATCTAACCCGAGATGTAACAATAATCTACTGTTATATCAATGGAATATTGTAGAGTACTCACAGTTCCTCATCTGGTTATTCAAACTGGAATGTCTTTGTATTATTGTATAAGTTGCCACCCATTAAATCTATGACGTTTCCTTCGCAAATGATTTATATATGCCATGGGGAAGAGGCCGTTAAGCTATTGGTTTGGTGGCCTGCAAGTCATAGTCCTCTAATGCAGTGAGGGAGCGACATTAAAATATTTCATCTTCAAGTATTTTGTTATCTCTCATAACTCGCAACTAAGCTGTGTGTTGATGTCAAGAACGTTCAGGAATAATAAAAGAGCAGCCAGTTGCCATTAACCACACCCTCACCCCGTCCCTTGTTTATTAACACACACACACCGTCAGACGGTCACTCAGTGTTTGTGATCATATATGTAAACCTACATTTATTTTGTTTTTATGATGTCAAATTCCAGAATTAAAATACTATATTTTTTCTAAAAAGAGGATGTTAATGAAATAAGTTTTGATATTTAGAAATGTTAAACAAATTTTAACTCCCAGAGTTAAAATATCAGAACATTACCATTAGTTTTACTCATTTAAGTAAAACATATAAAGTAAAGTTAATTAAGATTATATTTTCAGCTAGGTATTATTACATAACAAACGAAAATGGATTGTCAATATTTCTTCAAGGAGTAAAAATTCGTTGCTGCCCCCCTCCTGCCCCAGTGCCGGTGGGGGGGTCCGACTAATTACCCAAATGTAGCCACAATGAAGTCAAATAATGGTCCTACATGAATAAATCGGACAGCCAATCACTTCTCGACTGGTATTTGGTGTCACGAAGTCACAAAAAATTGGTAAACTTAATTTAATCTGAGTTAATAGATCGAGTGCATGTACCTAACCTAACCTAACACAACACAACTCAGATTAAATTAAGTTTACCAATTTTTTGTGACTTTATGACACCAAATAATAATCGAGAAGTGATTCACAGCCCCATTTACGGCTATTTGACTTCTTGCGGCTAATTTGGGTAATTATCTCCCTCAACATGCACGCGATTATTAACTCAGATTAAATTAAGTTTACCAATTTTTGTTTTACTTTGTGACACTAAATACTAGTCGAGAAGTGATTGGCAGTCTGATTTATTAATGTAGGACCATTATTTGAATTCATCGCGGCTACATTTGGGTACATTTGGGTAATTAGTCGAACCGCCTGTGGGGTGTGGGTTGTTTGGTGTTCACACTCAGGATGGGATGGAGAAAGGAAACTCACAATGTGCTCTCTGTATACATGTTGTATTGGAACATGCAGCTTGGTGCTGGGAAGTGGCTCAAGCGTGATGTAGAGAGAGCTGGTTGGTGAGGATGCTCAGAGGAGGACTTGTGGGTCGCCAGCTCGAGAGGTGGTGTTGCTGGCTGCGGCTGTAGAGAAGAGAGAGGTCACTCAGGTCGTAGGCGTTTAGTAGTTGACCCCCGCTCCGTGGGCGGCGCTGGTTGACCTAGACCACGAGGCATACACTGGGGAATTCGCGGGGTCGGCTACTCAGCGACAAACAGCGTTTGTAGGGGAGAAATCCACTACATGCCCACCCAGGCACTGGTCACTGACCCATATCTTTTTACTTTTACTTTCATCCTCTTCGCCACTGATCGGCTTGTTAGCCGTTTGGGCGATCGGTCACGTCTCTGATTACTTTTCCTTTTCAGGGCCCAAGGGCGAAAATATACAACTACCACTACTACTACTAATAATAATAATACTAATAATAACAACAATAATAATAATAATTAAAATTAATAAAAAAAAAAATCATAACGATAATGTCACTGACACAGTGACATGGCTAGTCTAATGAAATCTAATAATTAATGTTATGCTCATGCCCACAAAACCTGTAAACTTTTTGAGTCCCCTAGTTGAAACATTCGATCTCTCTAATCGCTTCAGGAGACCAGAGTCCTCCGTTTTCTATGTCGCATTACCGGAGAGACTTAGGTATTCAAAAATACCGCACAGGGTGTTCATGAAATTTGAATTGGTGAGAGAACACCCTTACTTTGCATCAACTTAGAGATGTCTCATTACAGATGAAGCGTTCAAGATCCTTTGTGACTGATGTTGAAAGTTTCAATTGCATTCACTGTTAGAGAAATTGTCAATATAAGTCAGGGTAGAATCCACTGTAAGAATGAGGTATCATTGACGTCATCCCTAGAGATGCCAGTAATTGTTAACTGAGGCTGAAGTCACCTCTTTTTCACAAATGAACATCAGAGAATATGATGTTCATGGTGAAATTGTTGTAAGGATGTTAATTACGAAATTAATTATCCTGAAGGGAACTGTCACACCACGTATCTCTGAGAATCTAACGGGTGTAACCTAATACTCCTCGTTTAACTACCGTATATACTCGTCTATAACCCCCCTTCGTATATAGGTCGACCCCGATTTTATGACCAAGAAATCGTTAATTTATGATATTCCTCGTTTATAGGTCGACCCAAGATTTTGAGGGTAATGGAACAACAAAACCTTCAGAAAAACTCTACGTCCTATAAACTTGTTTACCATTTATTATTACGACACTTTACACTGAAACGCAGGTAGTTTCAACAAAAATATTGTATATTTCCATTCAAGTATTTATTCAAGTCAATTAGGAGGGAATATTATTGTAATACAACAGTTTTTTAACTAAACCATTCGAAAAGCGATTACGGTAACATCTTTTGAACGAAAGAAAGCGAGTCATTGTTTTCGTCACGATTTTATCCCACTTTACACTGTAATACGTACGTAATTTCAGGTAAAAATATTACATTTCCGTGAATGTAGTATATCAAGCACAGTATGAATAGAATATCATTGTAATATAACAGAATTTTAACCGAAAACTATTAAAAAAACGAATAACATCTTGTGGGGTTCAAGATATTTGGTTCACACTCAGGATTGGATGGAGAAAGGAAACTCACGATGTGCTCTCTATATACATGTTGTATTGGATGTACAATGCAGCTTGGTGCTGGGAAGGCAGCATGGTTACAAGCGTGATGTAGAGAGAGCTGGTTGGTGAGGACGCTCAGAGAAGGACAGCTTGTGGGTCGCCATGCTCGCCAGCGGGAGAGAGGACCGCCAGGCAGGCGGAGGAGGGAGGGCCGCCAGGCAGCGGCAGAGGAGGAGGTGTTGCTGGCTGTGGCTGTAGGTAGAGAGAGAGATCACCACGAGGTCAGGTCTTAAATAGCGGGGGTAGGCGTGGCTTAGCAGTTGACCCCCGCTCCGTGGTGTATGGCGGCGCTGGTTGACCTAGACCACGAGGCATACACTGGGGAATTGGTGAGGTCGGCTAGACAGCGACAAACAGCGTTTGTAGGGGAGAATTCCACTACAATCTCAAGAACATCGGAAGCTTAGGTGAAGTCTTTTGTTTTCGTCATGTATTTTATCCTATTTTACATTTGAAATCACCACGAGGTCAGGTCTTAAATAGCGGGGGTAGGCGTGGCTTAGCAGTTGACCCCCGCTCCGTGGTGTATGGCGGCGCTGGTTGACCTAGACCACGAGGCATACACTGGGGAATTGGTGAGGTCGGCTAGACAGCGACAAACAGCGTTTGTAGGGGAGAATTCCACTACAATCTCAAGAACATCGGAAGCTTAGGTGAAGTCTTTTGTTTTCGTCATGTATTTTATCCTATTTTACATTGAAATACATCACGTTTCAGCAAAACTACTATTTATTTCCGAGAATATATTCATTCAGGCACAGTTTAGGTAAAATATACGTGTGATGTAATAGTTTTTTAACTGAAAACGATTCGAAAAACACGTTCCCTCTAGCCCTGTTCAAGGAGAGGACTGGGAGAAGCTGTTTGGTGCTGCAGACGATGACAAGGAAAATGATTTTGATGGATTTTAATGAAAATATTCAGAAATATGGTATCGTAATATTTATTCAAGTCAATTAGGATATTATTGTAATACAATACAACAGTTTTTTAACTAAACCATTCGAAAAGTGATTACGGTAACATCTTTTGAACGAAACAAAGCGAAAGTCATTGTTTTCATCACAATTTTATCCCACTTTCCACTGTAATACGTATGTCATTTCAGCAAAAAATATTACATTTCCGTGAAGGTATTATATCAACCACAGTATGAATAGAATATCACTAATATAACAGTATTTTAACCGAAAACTATTAAAAATACGAGTAACATATCTTGAACATCGGAAGGTTAGGTAAAGTCTTTTGTTTTCTGCATGTAGTTTATCCTAATTTACATTGAAATACATCACGTTTCAGCAAAACTACTATTTATTTCTGAGAATATGGAAATGTAATATTTTTGCTGAAATGACGTACGTATTATAGTGGAAAGTGGGATAAAATCGTGACAAAAACAATGACTCGCTTTCTTTCGTTCACAAGATGTTACCGTAATCGCCTTTTGAATGGTTTTCAGTTAAAAACTGTTATATTACAATAATATTCTATCCTAATTCACTTGTGATGTAAAAGTTTTTTAACTGAAAACGATTCGAAAAACACGTGTACCGTCTAGCTGATACGGCAGAGCCCTGGTCGTGGAGGCTTTGTGTTTGCATCGGCCCTTCTTAAGCAGCTTTTAATTTTAGCGTACGTTGAAATTGTGTTTACCGGTGTATTCTTATTTTCTTGCTTCTTATTTTCCAGAAATATGACAAGTTTTTATATAATACAATGTTACGGTACTTTTAATTTAGAAGTATTCATTTTTAAAAATACAGAAGACACCAAACAAATACTAGTACGGATATTTGCGTGACTCTCCCGCCAAAAAAGACCAAACAGCTGGTACTCTCTCCCTCAGCCCTACCAAAAATAGCCCAACATCTTTCTTGTTTATTCTCTTCCAATTTCTCACTTTAACTGGTATTTTTTACTTCATATTGCCTACATCAGATAAACTACAGTAATTGAGGTTAGATATTGTTATAAATTTGATTACCGGGTCCTGGCAGGTACCGTTAGAACCACCTGACCCTACCAACAGTGTTGCAAGTCAGACAGCATTTTTTTTTTTTACATTTTTGGTGTCTCCATTTGTTAATTTTTTTTCTGTGGGGTTTGCACAATAGTATACTGTTTTACCTACAGTATTGTAAAACGATTTGGGAAAAGAAATACTCGGTAACTTAAAATTTTAAAAGGAAAATTTTGAAACTGGCAACTGTGTGTAGATGACCTGACTCACATCATATTGATGTTTCAAATTTAATTAACAAAAATTTATGTATCTATAAATACACTTTTAAAAATGAATACTTTATGTTTTACATACTCCTGTGCATACCATACCATGCATTTGGCTACTTTGGGCTTGCTATGATGACGCAAGAGATCTGCCCTGGCAACTGTACCGACACTCACAGCGGGTGGTGCGTTGGTGCATCGTTTCCATTGTTTACTGGTAGTTACTGGTAAATTTTTTTCAACCTAACGAAACTATTACCCGTATAGAGGTCGACCCCCAACTTTTTGCCCAAAAATTTGGTCTTAAGAACTCGTGCTATACACGGGTATATACGGTAACTACAGGTAGTTCTGCTATAACGCGATAATTGTGTTCTTGTAAAATATCGTGTTATAGAAAATCGCGTAATAGAAATAACAGGGCTTATGGAGAAAATAGGGTTAGGTGCAGATTACTCGAAATCGAAAAAATTTTGTATTTAGCCTAACACAAAGGATAGCACAGTCTAAATAAATGTTACATTCATATCTAATAATGAAATCATACAGTAAATTTAACACTTTACCTTGAAAAAATATGAATGTAACTTGATGGGGGAGAAGGGTGATTTTGAGGTTGATAACATTGAGCTTCTCTTCAAGTGTTATATCCTTTCTTTTACGATAATCACCGGGAATTCTATCATCAGAGCGCCTTTTGGAGATATTCTTCTTTACCATATTCACAGTTAATACCACAAAATTGGAGAAATAGTAAGCAAAAATCGCGTTATAGCAAACAAGCGTTCGCGTTATACAAATATTGTTCCGAATTCATAAATCGCGTTAGAGCACATTCGCGTTATCAAAACACGCGTTATAGCAGAACTCCCTGTACCTACCCTGGGGGTCCAGTCAACTGCCCAGACGCGTTCACTGTCCAGCCTGATGATCTCTCAGGCCGAGCAAACACCGCTAGCCCCCATCATTGTTAGGGATGAGTCCACCACTCAGTAGGGCTATGTTTTGGCTGTGTTATTCATCCGAGTACCCATGTATGTAGACGCCTGAATTGTTCTGAGTGTTTGGAGTCAGCAAGAATATCTTGACCACCAATTTGCTTGTTGGAAAATGTATCGCAGTAGTGAAGAGAAGCTACTAATCCTGGTGATGTTAAAGTATTAGTGTTGGTGCTGTAAATGACATCATTGCCACTTGTATTAATTGTGCTATATAATAGTGTTGTGTGTTCTTGTAAGTGTACACCCAGTAATGGTTTGAGTGGAGAATGTACCTAAGTTAACAATACAAAATGAGTAAAGCCAGGGAGTTGACCCCTGTAGTTGGGTGTTACTGAAATTACTGTGCTGTATTCATAAAATATAACTTAATTTTAATAAACCATTTTATTTGTATGTTAGGAGTATCATTTACCTGCAGTATTTTACCTTCATTCTTTTTCATTGTTTGCTACCAGAATTACAGTTGTATACACAGGTCAGAAGTTATGAAATACAGTAACTCTATGAAGTAACATAACTAAGCTATAACTATTATCTATACTTAATGAAATAAGAAAAGGAAAGAAGAAAAAAGGTTGAAGAGTTTAAAAGTTAATAGCAATGGGATAAATTAATAAGAAAATACATCAAAGAAATCCCTCCCTTATAATAATAACCCTAAATAAAAAAATAATGAAAAAATAAATCAAGAGTAAGAAATGACGAACAGAATTGTAGATGCACGAATAGCTAATGCATTAGCTATGCTGTTATTCTGTTGGCTCATACTCTTCTGCCAAGTGCATGACACCTTGAAAGGGAAAATCAAACGCTTCGACGAGGCGTTAGAGTGTGCGGCGCCTGAATAGCTAACAACCAATCAGCGATTTTTTCCCACTAAAACAGTGGGTAAATACGCGGATCATGGCCGCTTACTATGGAGAATATTTTGATTAATATTGAAGAGTTGGGGGAAATGTAAGGCACAGAGCCAGAGGGCAGCGGTACATCCTCCATCCGCTCTACCTCCCACCCCTACTACTACTGTACTACTTTGCCGTCACTCAGAATCGAGTATGACGATCGTCCAGTTATGATACAATGATATGAGTTATTAGGGATGTCACCTTCATTGGTGAGTTTTGAGGTGACTAAAGAGGCCAATACAGGACCGGCAGAGTTGTTCACAGATGTTGCACATGTGGAGGACTACACCGAGTGCGGGAGGGGCAGTGGCAGCATTTTTCCGGCATTAGCACTTGTCTTCCTCGGTTTGCAGTCAGGCTAACTCGAAAGTATTAACACCTTTTCGTTTGGTGCTCCTCCAAGCGTTACGATGTGGAGTAATCTTAACCTTTATGCCCCTTGGCTAAGGTGCCACTGGCCGTGTCCCCCCCCACGTGGGGGTAAATCGAGAAAAATCAAAACTTTTCCAAAAATAATTTTTAACCTTTATAAATTATAAAACAATAATTTTTTTTAGGAAAACTATATATTGACTCGCTATAAACTTCCCTGTGGCAGCAGTGGCGAGGGAGATAAAGGGACAGTGCTGTTTTGACAGTTGACGCCTTTGTGTCCGGTATGGCCAGCAATGCATATATTTACTGATCATAATACTTATTTCCTATAAATAATTCATTCAGAGTATTTTATTTGCATTATTTTTCATAAAAAGTGCTCGGCAACACACAAGCAGTCAGTCGCCATGCTGTCTGGCTGTCTTTGTGTTTGGTAGAGCAAGTAATACGTAAAATAATAATAATTCCACAAATAAATACATTTATAACATAATCATAGCATTATTTTCCAGTAATACTTCACTACAATACAACTACACTACTTTAGCAATGCCTGTATTCCTTTGATACATGATAAAATGGACAAACAATGAAAATTAAACAAACAAAAGTAGGTACTTATATTCAGGAAGCTTCCCTGTGGCCGAGAGTATGGCGTGACAGGCAAATAGTCACACTGTAACCTGATAATCCGCGCTGGGTATTTAAACAGTGGCGGGAAAAGGCGCGCGTTCTGGAACGTCTCCCGGGGCGCGCCAGTCGGGTGTTCCGGTACGTCACCCGGGATCATTATAATATGGGGTCCAATGGGATATGTTCCCAGCCAGTCCAACACCCACATTATCACCAGAAAAAAAATAATAATCCTATACTAATACTATACCTACAACACAATTAAACAACACTTACCACATCATTAAGAACAAGCCTGGTTGTCATTATATGTCCCCTTCGAGGCTGAGGGTACTCTTGAAGGTTAGAGTGGAGATGTCACTCTGACTCCCATATAGCATCTAGGGGTCTCATGCTGCTTCACAATGTCAAGCTTCACCCCAAGAGACAGTTTTCTAGGGTGCCTTAGTCTTCCCAGACATTTTTAAAGTTACACTGCTCACTTCACAGTCATTTAAATAGAGTACAATTTGACTGTTAGTGATGTTGTCTGACTGTAAGGTAAAAAAACAAAAAAAAACACCAATGATAAGTAACACCACCAATATGGACCGATAATTATCATTGAGCTAAACGATCAAGGTCATGTTCGATCACCATGGAACAAACCATGGTACTGTAATGCATCAGGTGGCCACATGGCAGGGCATGGGTAAACTGCAGCTGACAAATGCACTATGAGATGTGTTCCATATTCTGTGTTGGCCAGACGATTACCATCGTTCATGCCGATTGTTTTCATCATAAATAGGGGGGTGGTCTTAATACATCATGTTCACTGAGGATGAATATCGTAGATAGGGAGATCGTAAATCAGGGGATACCTGTACTGTACTGTACTGTACTGTACTGTACTGTACTGTACTGTACAGTACAGTACAGTACAGTACTTTTAAGCGTGAGGCATGTTTGGTTACTGATATTTACACAAGATTTTCTGAGGAGAGCACTCTTTACATACATAGTAGTAATACTTTGTTTAATTTCACACATCAACAGCTAATTACTATTTCAGAATGCACTAATTCTTATCTCCAAAACAGAAAATGGATAGGGAACACACAGTCATTGCTGTCTGTCCATCTGTACAAAACCATTTCCATTCAATTACTTGAGGGCTTTAGCTTGGCGTGAACTTTGGTTTGAAAAGCCCATGTCACAAATATTTAAGTCACGTACAAGAACCATCATTTCACAGCATATTGAACCTCAGAAATGGCCATTGTTGAACTTGAAAACTTTGGAAGGGTTCTTCTGCATTACCTTCAGTGATACAGTCGCATAGTTTTACATTAATATGGAGTACTATAGCTGGCAATCTTTCCTTCATAGTAAATTCCCAGCGATGAAAAATTCAAATTCAAGTATTATGTACACTGAACTAATATTGTTACATTTATCCAAGACAAGAGAGTTTGATTACACATTTGTTACTGATGTTTTTTAAAAAATATTCTGCTTTTGCCTCTTGTTTTGTCTTTTGTTAAACCTGTTCCTTACACAATGGCCAAGCTGATATTGGCATGTATGACAGCTGCAGGTATTTACATATATGATGGCAATAGCAAATGTTAAGTTGCATTATGGTAGGTAAGGAGTTAATGTGAATCATTCTGTTCAATATAAAAAGGTTACCTCTAAAATTAATTGAACTGAACAAAATTACACCAGAATAAATAATGAAACAGTATGTGTGATTTTGGGAGTTTTGCAAACACTTTTTGATATCTGTACAAATTTAATTCATAAATAGTCAAGTTTAAGTATGGACAAGAAACCCGAGAGCTGGCCAGGGCCCCGGGTAAAGATAAATTTATGGGCCCCTTTTACACATATATTTACTATTTATATCCCCCCTTTTCCAGGCCCTGAGGATTTATCCCGGCTTCCCCACCCTCTCAGCGGCTTAAGTATGTACACTGTTTGATAAAATCTTTATTTCTGCGTGAGAATTCCTCGTGATTTAGGTCTGTATGAAGTAAAACCATCCATTCTGACTACAGGCATCTTGGGAGGTTGAAGTGAAGCATGGGCAGCTACCCTCCGTCCAGCTATATCAATTTCAAATTTTGCATTCTGTAAGATGTATTCAGGAGTAACGTTTTTCCCGTCATGGTGCCGAACAAATCCCAGGCATATCATCTTATTTAAAGTAAGTCCAAAGCTGAAAAGGAAAGAAATATTTTTTACTTATTTAAATTTTAAAGTTGATCCAAAAAAATCTAAGCTGAGATAGAGGAAAGAGGCTTTCTTAAAAGCAAAAACTATCACATCAAGATGTCAATGCATACTTACTTCTTCCTCAATTTCCTCATCTACTGCAATTTCATAGATTATTAAGGATAAGTAGTGTTAGTTGGAAGTACAGTTTTAAAACAAGGAGCTGAAACACAACTGCGAGACAGAATTAAACCTGAACCCTACGAATTTTTGTGCAACATCTTGCTCTAAAAATGGAAAGGAAATATACTGGATTGGGAGTCAGGATAATACAGTACAAGATACACACAGGAAAATAAGTTAAATTAAAAAAAAAAGTGAAATTGCAATACCCTGTATAATACAGTACTGTTCATGAAACTGCTCCTAAAACCTTCATCAAAGAAAGTACATTTTTCTTAAAAAAAAAAAAAAATCTTCAGAAAACATCACATTTCTTCTTCACTTAATTTTTTTATCTCAAAGGCCCTCTACTATCTCACATATATACAGTACATACCGGTACATACATAGAAACCATAACACACTATATGACACTTACGCTGATGATGTAGTGTTGCCAACAAAGATATTGTTGCGATAAATAGGTTCACCTCCCCAGGGCCAAATATCCTCATCAGGGTCAAAACAGTCATCCAGAGCTAAATGAACCAATCTCTTCTTCAAACCTTGGCTTGCCTGGCGCATCAGGGCAAATTTGCCAATGAAATATTCTTTCTGAAATTTGTAATAAAACTCAAAATATACAGTAAAGTATTAACATTTTCATCTCATCAATTTAGAATTTGTGCAACTGTATTTCTGAATTATTGTAAAAGTTTAATATTTTTAATGATCATGCCTAATTAAGGTACTGTACTGTAACAATCCTTGGAGAACAGAGGTCTAGTACAGTACTGTAAAATGGTTACTCCAAAAGTTATGAGAAGTGGATTCCTTTTCAAGGATCAATATGGTATAATACTGTACTTGTACAATAAATATCCATAATTTTAACTTCTGCTAATATTCTTAATCTGAGTGATCAGGAGCACCTTTGAAAAAATTTTGAAGGTGATGAAAATCTCAAACATTTTTACCTATTAATTATTTACTAAACTAAGATGCCAATAATCATTACTGTACAACTTAAATAGGTTACTAATGTACTCACATTAAGTTTGACTTTATAACCACGACCCACTTCATATGGGGTTGTGGTAGAGTCCAGTTCTTCTGCCCAGAATGGAATAAATTTTTCAACACGTAATGAACGCATAGTCAACATACCCACATTGCGAATACCATAATCATGTCCAATCTGGAAGGACAGAGAAAATATAAATAATAGTGATATCTCCGTTAGCCGGAAGAATTGGTGCAGAGCACTTCCGGGAATGAGAGATTTTCGGGTAACAAGACGACTCTCTCAAGGCCAGAAAAAATCCCTCATCCCCAGAATTTTTCAGAATTCTCCGGCTAAGGGTAAAATGTTCTCGGAAGTTCCAGGAATTGTCCATTACATCATCTCTCAAACCCGGAAAAACTCTCCCATCACCATAATTTCCGGGTATCAGGAAAATTTTCTCAGAATTTTCCAGAAAATTCCAGCTTCAGGAATGATTTTCCGAGAAAATTTCAATTCCAGCTATTGGAGAGTTCTGGGTTTGAGGGATTCCGGCTAATGGAGATATTACTGTACAGTATGCCCGGATAATTTGAGGATTTTTATTTCACAGTCCTCTAATATTAGTGAATGATACCCTGGATGTACCCAAGAATGTCTAAGGGTAGTTTTAAAGTTGCTGGCATTTTCACGTTTTAGAGACAGTAATTTCATTTACCAGTATTGTATACTGTATACGTGTGTGTAAGGAAGACACACACACACACACACACACAAAACACATACCGGTACAAATAAATAATAATGGGAAAATCATCTTGCAAATAATCAGAAAAAATTTATTAAAAATGTTGAGTCTAACCTTAAGTCAACTCCGTGCTTTATTATTAATAAAATATGGAGTGGACTTAAGGATAGACTCAACATTTTTAATAATTTTTTCTGAATTATTTATGAGAGGATTTTCCCATTAATATATATTTATATGTGCTTTGTGTGTGTGTGTGTCTCATATATACAATATAACATTTTTAATAATTTTTTCTGAATTATTTATGAGAGGATTTTCCCATTAATATATATTTATATGTGCTTTGTGTGTGTGTGTGTCTCATATATACAATATAGGTAAAAGAAAAAATTGTCCTAAGGGCAAACACATAAAGGGAATACAGTATACATTTCTTAGTACACAAGTAAAAATGCGACCCCCCCCCAGTCAGCAAATGTTATTTGCAGATTTGGCGATTCGCAGCCATTTTGAGAATCTAGCCCCCGCGAATTTGAAGGACATGCTGTATTACAAATTTATGATACTGTATAAGTTGGTAATGGTTAAAGAAGTTTCAAGATTATTGTTTGAAGCTACAGTAAAGTAGTTTAAATCACCAGATATAAATGCCTTGTCAATAGTACTGTAATCCAGAATTATAAGCCTTTTGTCATATTTATTACCCTTGAGTCTCCTTAATTCAACTGGTACATCTGCTGATCCCAATGACTGACTTACAAAGATGTTCAAAATTTTAAATTCTTCTGCATGGCCTTTTCCATTAACCTATCACTGGTTCTATCTATACAGCCCATAATAATAAAAATCAAACCCTCATATGATAATAGGAGTGATCACGGAAACATTAAGTCATAGAAGAGATTAATTTCTCTGAAGTTTTGAAACAACTTTCTTCAGAGAGAAATAAATCTTTGCTCTAACTAATTGATAGATGTCTAACAATATACAATTTCACACACAAATACACACATGTGGAGTGCCTCACATATACAGTGTATAGTACTGTACACATATACTGTGCTAGTATGAAACAAAGTAGTACAGTACTGTAATGTGATAATTTGTTTCTGTATTTATTCAAGTATTTGTTTAGGATTTGCTTAGGAATTTTGAAATTTGGATACCTTTCCTTGCATTTAAGTACCCATGTGGTACATCTCAAGGAAATAGTTGTTCTCTTACTTCATGAGTATCTTTGCAAATGTAGAAACACTTAGCAGAAATGGTTACCTTTATTAGGTATAAAATAAAGCACACATACACACACAAACTCTATAGTTATGAGCTACAAGGATTAACAATAATTTGATGTTTTCTTGACTCACCTTCATGAGTTGATTATAGATGTGGAGAGTATATTCTGCAGGGATGAGCAAGGTATAGCCAGGTTCTCCCATGTGTGTAAATGACAGCACAATCACTCCTGATGCATAGGCTACATTGATTTCCTGGAGAGGAGTACCATTAATGAGAAAACTTTTGGAAAGTACCCTTTTCTTCAGTTTATATTAGTCAGCATATCTTCTTTCTGTGAAACTAAACTATTTTTTTTTTTACGGTAATTAGCCCACCCGAGCAAATTCTGGGAAAGAGTAATATGACATGTCATGCTACAATCTGAGAGCACAGAAGGAATTTTTACCTTTGCCATATGTCCATAAAACACAAGATTATTATTGCACATTAGGGACAACATTTCTCTTGATTTTGGCCCCACAACGCTAAGCACAGAGTACATAGACGTCACATCTGACACAGACACACAAGCTTCAGCTGTGATCTGTCGTCTCATCCAGTCCATGATGCGGGTCTGCTGAGTTGTGGGGGCTAACATCAAGTAGCTGTAATGGAAGCACAACATTTGTGACACATTTAATATTTTCTTCATTTTCTGTATTTCTCATATTATCTAAAGAAAGTCAGTGTAAAGCTACATTTTTAATATGATACTACAGTACTGTACAATACTCCTGCTGCTTCCATTATCATTACTCTATCATTACTGAGTTTTCCTTTTTAATGTTAACTACCAGCTAAGTACTGTATACCGGTAGGACTATCAAGCATTTTGTAGAGACTTTTCTTAGCTTTGTATTTTACAATACAAAATATTTTTATTGGCGTAGTTAAGAAAAAAATACACGTTCCCACTCTTCCATCTGCACAAGAATACACATTTGCAAATACCGTAGATGTTACACAAAAACTTACCAAAAAATACAATACAATGGGCCAACACATACACACTTTTGTGATTTGAATTAGCATGATGAAACCTCACCTGTTATCTGTTCGGCGTATAAGGAGACAATCATTCTCAAAGCCTCCACGCTCATTCTGCATGCCACTATGAATTACTCCACCAACTGGCATGTTGACATCATTGCTGCAAAGTTTCTGCATATATTCAACCACCTGATTCCCTGCAGACTAATCACAGAATTAATCACTGTTAGTAAACATTTAATACTAGAAAAGTTGTCAATCCTGTCACTGTACAGCACACTCACTGCTAAGTCTCCTTTTGGTGCAGGAGACAGTTTGGGTAGCACTGCATTCATGTGTCTTTACTTCCCCAACTACAAAGTTAAGTACTCATTCACAACTGAGAGAACTGTGGGAGCCCTGGGTGTAAACTACTCCTTCTGCTCGATCATATTTCTAATAAGTAACAAGACAATCACTAAACTCTGTACTGTATTACTTTGCTTAATAATACTGATTACTGGGTACCTTGATATTCATAAAGACAATCCTAAATATATATCACGATGCACTGTTGGGAAACACACCTCTTACTGAAATGCTAAATGGCCACCTAAACTACCTGTATTTGTTATACATGACTAAGCTACATCTAAGGCAGCTACAGTTTGTGTAGTAGCACAGCTCTCACACTAGAATTACCAATAATAAAAATCTTGTTTAATTTTTCATAAATAATAATTAATAACAACAATGATAATAACAATAAAAATAATAATACAGTAATAATAATAATTTTACATTACATATTGAGTTTGCAGGGATAAGCCAGAGAACAAACAATACTTCATCAACACCATCAGAGGGACCAGTGGTACCAATTGAGATAAATGAAGGGAAGCTCATAGAAGAGAAATAAAAATAATATTTGTCATTTATATAAAAAGCATAATTTTAGGCAAAGAATGTTTACACATCCATTATTAGGGCCAAAGTAAGATTAAAGTAACAGATTGTTGAAAGCTTTAACAAAATATGCTGCATGCAATCCCTGGAACAAGTGAATCAGCAACTATCAAAACAAGCAGTAAACTCTCACATCTATGCAATCTTTATAGCCACAATTTGTATTACTGGATAGATGAACACATTTTTTTTATAATGCTGCTGCAGATTTATCAGCATAGATTTAGTTTATGCACCACAAGTTTTATGAGGCAAGACTGCCATGACAATTAAACAACCACATGGAAGTTGGTGTACACTAGAGCTGATATATATTGGAAGACGACGGTGGGTAGCAGTAGGATCACAAAGTAGGGTGACTACCTGGTCACTAATTCGGTTAAAGCAGTCACATGGTGGAATGGGAGGGGGGTTGGGCAACAAACATCTCCCAGGAATTAGCTACAACCTAAATAGCACCACATCATGTACACTACAGTAGTTTCTGTATTGTGTAGCCATATGTCAGTGTTTACTAGTAGCAAACCTGGCAGTAGAAGAGTAGCCAACACACACCTCTACTGCCTGGTCCACTGCTATACACCATCATCTTATAACATAGGACAATAATAGCTGTGGAGTATATGATCATCACCATTACCACTTTCTGAGCACATTGACACACCACACTCAGTGGCCTAACCCTACCCCTTTAGAAGTGTAGGCAATATTACATCGCCCATGCCCAAACCTCAATCCATATGTTGATTTTCACTATGTTGGCAATTAGTCATTTCTAAACGATTAATGTTATATTTGTTAAAGCATACATCAACCATACATCTTGTCTCGCCACAGGCAGTTGGACAACCTGACCTAATTCTCATTACTCTTCCATTGTGACTAAACTGATTGCCTGGAGTATCTCCCATTATTGTAAACATCTGTATTAGTTTATTCTGTTCAGCTACCAGCTACAATTGTGCAGTAACTTCTGAAGATTGTTTAATAAAGACTTTTAGAGTAAAATTTATGGTACACGAGGGCTATGATGATGGACTTGGTGATGTCCAGAAGTTAAACTTACTTTTTTATAGGTAACATATTCACAATATTGTGATCATATGAACCTGTTAAGGGCACAGTGTCCTTACATATACATGGGGTCTACTAAAATCAGTAAGAAACTGAACAGCAGGAGAATACAAGTAACACAAGAAGCAGTGGAGTCAATAATAATACCAATTAATGTTAGCTGAAATTTTTTTCTTTTCACAAGTAAGTTTTCAGGTCACAAAGGCATCCAAATTAATTATAATCTGGGTAAAAGATACATGAGCAGACGTGCTGAGGGCAATAAACACGGGGCCCAAAGCTTAACCATTTCTTACTTTTGACCTATATTAACTGTCAGCAGTACTCTGGAATAAAAGATTAACAAAATTATCAACACTCTGGGCAATACAACAGAGAAATGCAGATTTTAGGAAAGCTCTTCAACTTTTTCGAAAAAAAATACAGTACGATTTCAAGCCACTTATCCCTTATTGTGTATATTTTAGTTATCAAAAACATTCATTGAGGAGTTTCTGTAATGTGGTTCATCTGTCTTACTACTGGACCACCACCACCACACTGAGCACCACCATGAAAATTAAATCTTAAGCTTGCTTAAGACTGCATTTCAAAGAACTAAAAACTAATATGATGATTCAATATCAATAGCTCTGTAGTATATCATTCTTGACTCCATATATTTTGAAAAAATAAAAAGTAAATTAATTTATTAAAAACAAGTTGGGTACTGAGAGTAGAGAAGAGCTTAAGTACCTAAGGAGTTATGCTCAGCTGACTCATATAACTAAGACTGCGCCACACCACCTGAAATACTAACCTACATAGCTTGGGCACTTCTGCTCAGATCCAGAAGAACTGGAAATATTGTTTGTGTATTAATCTTTCTGCCCAGTGATGACTGCTCCTCTTAAGGGTCTACAAACCATAGTAAATGAATATGTTTCCCAGTCTGGTGTGAAAAACTATTCAATCGTCCTCCATTATCCATCATCTCATAAAGCAATGGTATGTGAGAAAGTTTTGCCTGATCTTCTTCCAGTGATTTATTTGTCATGGATTTGTAAACTGGCCCAACTGGCCACAGAGTTCAAAATTATTTAAAGTAAGCCTTACCACCACAGCTTGAATGTTTTTAAAGGTTAGGAATATCAACACAGTTAAAAGCAATTAATGTAAGCACTCTAGGACAATACATCTAAAATCACTTCTATATCTATCTGATAACAAACCATTACTGTATATATAAACATACTATGCTTGGCATTCCTATAAAAAACGACAGCACAAGAGTACAGAGGGTCCCCGGGTTAAGAACGGGTTCCTTTCCTGAGGACGTACGTAAGTCAGATTTGTACGTAAGTCGGAACACATGCTATATGCATACCGTACTTACAAAACATTGTTTAAAATCCCACTATATCATAGCCTAAGTCCTTATATGCATCTAAAATCACTTAATTTAGGACAAAAGAGAAATAAAATGACAAAATACAGTAAATTAAGGTAAAAAAGTCATCAAGTAAATAAAATACTGAAAATTCAAGTTCAACCCCATTTATATCGGCGCCCCTTCGTAAATCGGATGTTCATAAGTCGGGGACCTCTTGTATTGAAAGCAATGAATACAGAAGTCATTATAATACATATAAATCATTAGCTATCACTCTATTACTCTAAAAACTATGTACAATATATAAACATAAAAAAACATTCATTATTTTTCTTCAGTTCAATATGTAAAAATATTTCAGAGTTAGTTTTCTCAACAGAAGCTCAACAGACATCACAAGGTAAACCTTCACATCTTGTTACCTGCACCAAAAAGCCTTAAGCAAGACACCAGCCAAATGCATTGCAAGTAAATAAAATTTACCTTCATTTCATCTGCATCAAACTGCTTATTTTTATCTAGTCCTGCTGACTTGAAAAGGAAAAATTGCTAATTAGTAGCTCCAAGGAAAAATCTTTCAATATGTAAAGGATGTTAAGCAGTGACTTAACTCATGATTCACGATAAGACGATTCACCTTACACTGCAATATTGGAGGACACATTAACGTCGTTATTCGAGGCTTTACTGTATTCTGCTAAATTAATTCAGTGACATTTTGTAAGTGAAAAACCTAAACTCCTTGCCTTTTATAATCCTTGAATAAGTGTGAATCTCCCCTACTGGCTGTTGACACCCCACGTCTCCCCCTCTTCCTAACCAGCAGGGGGGAGGCAGATGGCGGTGATAAAGATTAATGGGATGACTTTTTTTTTTTAGGCTTACAGTTTTTTCTTATAAAATGTCACAGACTTGACTTCACAGAATATAACTTGCATTGCTAGAATCCTTGCAGGATAGCAATTAATTTGAGAATAAACATCTCATAGTTTGCACAAGATAAAATTTTAAGTCCTTTAGCATTGTATATTGAGCACAAAATGAGTACAGTGCCTGTACAGTAATATGCTGCTCAAAATTACGGCTTTTTCACAGGGAAAAGTCTGTATAACTAGCCCTAGTGGTCAGGATATTATGGTTTAGAATGTTATGGAATATTTCAAATAAATTATTCTACCAGTACCCTTCATATACAGCAAAATACTTTTTACCTTATTGTTGGGCTTGTCATTTAGGATATCATATTGGAAACGTCTCATATAGGATCATTATGGTATGAAATTCATCTCTTTAACCCTTACGCCCCGGGTCACATTCGAGAAAGCGCGCCTTTTTCTGACACTGTTTGAATGCCCATTGCGGGTTAACGGGTTCAGCAGGACTATTTGTCTGTCACGCTACACGCTCGGCCACAGGGAAGCTTCCTGAATACAAGTACAGTACCTACTTTTGTTTGTTTAATTTTCATTGTTTGTCCATTTTATCATGTTGTATCAAAGTAATATTGCTAAAGTAGTGTAAATGTATTGTAGTGTCATTCAAGACATCTTCAGGGTCACAAGACCCACTCATCCCCCACCCAACAATGGGTGACTTGACAGTGCATCAGGTTAGGTTAGTACCATGACTCAATAATCTCCCACCCAACCTTCATCACAAGATTTAAGACGTGACTAGTTATGTATTACAGTCAACTGAGTGAAGTGTCTGCCTATTCTAGGCTAAAGATGACAGATCTGCTGGTAAGTACAATACAGTAGTACCCCGATTTACACGGTCAATTGAACCCACAGGGTACCGCGTTAAGTGAAATCCGCGTAAATGGAACAACAGAACATATGGGATTAATTCCAATAGAGACTGGCCCGACCCCCAAACTCTACTTTTTCCGACACAATACCTATGTTCTAGTAAAAATAACATCTTAATTTTATGATGGTACATACACACAATTAATAATTAAGAGAAATAGAGAAATAGAGTCACCAAGTTAATGTCCATTCAAATAATGGGCTTAACTCCCTCCCCCTCTTCTCACACTACACTGCTGGCTCTTCCCTCTCTGAGAAATTTTGGGGGGAAAACCACTAGATTTTAATAAATAATACCTCAAACTAAAGTTAGGATAATATAATTGACATTGCTGGATTCCTTGTAAGACCAGGAATATTTTGAATATAAATGTCATATATTTTGCACAAAAGATAACATATTTACTCAGAGTAAAACATTATATCTAAAATTTGTATGTCTAATGCAAAATCTATGATGTTTATATTCAAAATGATCATCAAATTGTAAGAATTCCAGCAAAGTAAATTATATTCTGGCCGGGTAATTTGTATGAATTTTATGAGCTAAAGCAAATATCTTCAGTTAATATAAAAAAAAATATTCTTCACACCGTGCCAGATGGTTGGTCGGTCCCTCCCTCCCCCCCACCCCTCACCAACCCTCCCTACCAGATGTGTGGGAAAACCAGAATATTTACCTTTTTAGTAATAAATAATACCTCAAACTAAAGTTAGGATAATATAATTGACATTGCTGGATTCCTTGTAAGACCAGTTATATTTTGAATACAAATGTCATATATTTTGCACAAAAAATAACATATTTACTCAGAGTAAACATTATATCTAAAATTTGTATGTCTAATGCAAAATCTATGATGTTTATATTCAAAATGATCATCATATTGTAAGAATTCCAGCAATGTAAATTATATTCTGGCCGGGTAATTTGTATGAATTTTATGAGCTAAATAAAAACAAAAAAAATATTATACTTCACCGCGTATATGAGTAGATGAACCGCGTTAAGTGAAAGTTGGTTCTGGCGAGGCACCGCGTATATGAGAAATCGCGTTAAGTGGGGTAATACTGTACTGTATAAACAGTAGTATACATTATTGTGTGTACAGTATGAACAAAATTGTGCAGTGGTTGAAGAAGCCCTAAGTCCAGAAAACTGTAAGGGCAAACTTTTTTGGAGCGAGAGTTGTGAAATTGTGGAACAACCTGCCAGAATGTGTTGACAGTATCGAGTATGAGCTCTTTCAAGACCAGACTTGACCAACACTGGAGCAGGTTCAGATACATTAAGGAGCTAGTGCATGCCCAGTACTTACCAACAGTGCATAAGAGACGTGATCGAAAGCCCAAGCGGCTAAAGAGCCAATCAGTGGTGAATAAGATAAAAGTAAGTTAAAGTATTCAGGATTATTTTGATAAAATGTGGGAAGTCTAACAAAATTAGAACTGATTTTACGTTTCTTAATTTTTTTATATAGGTATAAAAGAATGGAATTCCCATTACTAAATCATATCGAAATATTTCGTTTAAGGATATCTTATTGGAAACGTCTCGTAGAAAATTTATTAAGGATCATTAGGGTATCAAATTCATCTCCCTATTACAATTAGCCATGTTTGAGTGAGGAAGGAGGGGGGGGGGAACTGACCACACGACCCTTACCCCCTTAAAAAGGTTCGCTTCTGTCAAAAACACGAAGCAAGCACGCACCCATGCACGCACGCACACAACCACCCACACACACACACTTCAACACTACCCACCTCACCCACCCCATCACCAGCCCCCACACCACACCCCCTCAACAAACACACACACACATGCACACCTTCCCCCGCGAGCGCACGCACCCACCCCCCCACACACACACACAACAAGGGAATTAAGACAGCAAGCATGAGGAGTGAGAGTCTTATTGTATGGCACATCTGCGTGTGTGTGTGTGACTGCTTGGTAGCGACAAAAATATATGAGGTGTTGAGTAGCGCTTGGCAACACTCACTTCCACTCCTTCTCTCTAAGTACCCACACCTTTCTGCTTTCTCACTCCATATTTTAAAATGATATGTAAAGTAATGTTGAAGGGATACAACTTTGCTCATTTATACAAATACTCTACACAATCTCCCTAAAATTACTTTAGGTTTCGTGTTTATTCAAGACATCTTCAGGTCATGAAACCCACTAATCCCCCACCCAAGAAAGGGTGACCAGACATTCCATCAGGTCAGTAATATGAGACCACTAATCCCCCAGCCTATCTCCACCTGACATAGCATCAGGTCCCGTCAGTTACACGAGACCCACTCGTTCCCCACAGCTCCATGGTAGTGGAAAATAACAGTCTTTGCTGTAAACACACAGCTTCATTCATGCCCATATCTTATTGATTTCTAATTTTTAAATATATTTATTTAACCAAACTTTTAGATAAACTATTTTTGATTATTATACAGTATAGTCTGCATTTACGCTGTCAATTGAACCCGTGGAGGTCTGCGTAAAACGAGAAACGCGTAAACGAAATAACAGAACATATGGGATTAATTGAAATAGAGACTGGGCCAACCCCCAAACTACACTTTTTCCGACACAATAAGTACGTTGTAGTAAAAATAACATCTTAATTTTATGATGGTATGCACACACAATTAATATTTAAGAGAAATATCAATAATATTAAGTTTTTTAACACTTACGTTAGTAAAAAAGATGGCTGGGCACACGAGGATGGGGGGTTGGTTCCGAGGCAGAGGGCAGATTATTGGCCCTCACCTGTATCACTTGTATCAATTGTATCGCTATCCACCACAGAGGCTTGCAGGGCCACTTTGTCAAACCCCTGAAAGTCCATATCCTTACTATCACTATCACTGCCTTGGGCCGGCTGTGGTGGGTGACGGGTGAAGAACTCGGTAATGTTTTGACGACTGGGCGACCTTGTGCGCACCCTGCCCGCGCCGCTTCCCGTGTAAATGATGAAATTTACCACGTAATTAAAACATTTCATTCTGGCAAGGCACCGCGTAAATGACCAAACGCGTAAACAAAATCAGCGTAAATCCAAAGTATACTGTAGTAAAGAAATCAAGTTTTTAACTTAATTAGAACTGCACTTATGGATTCCAGTAGCTTAGACTCAAGGAAAACATTCCCAGCACACAGAAACATTCTGGGGAAGTGGCTACTGTCCATCTGTGCAAGAGGTCTAGTTTAGACACTTGGAACTTTTCCCAGTAATCAGAAAAGGTTTCAGGTATAAGAAATTTTTCCGTGTTTGAGTAAGTTGTATCGTTACCCGGAAAACTCTAATCCTCCAGAAATGCTCTGCACCAATTGTTCCGGCTAACGGAGATACCGCTGTATTGTATATGAAAGTCATATGGAATTCTACTGTTCCAGCATACTGACCCATTATGAATACTGTACTATGCCATCTATAATTCATGACCTGACCAGTTTTGTATGTCTTTGTGCACAGTTTGGACTCAGTATTGGATTGTAATATCCTCTCCATACCTTGAACACTTGTGATGCAAAGACAAAAGCTCAAGTGAGGAAGCATGGGCCAGATTTTCATTACTTGATCATCAGGACAGAGTGCAACAGTACCAAGATGACTACTATGTGGACTTGTAGAAATGGATGCATATAGCTGAAAGAAAAACTTCTATCCTGCTTAGCCCCCAGGCTTTGGTTCACATCATATGATGTGCATGTACTGTTGTAATTTCGTGGCACAGTTTGAATTGCCATACATATGAGGGGGGGGGGGGGTTGTGTCTGTCATAGTCCAGTGCCTGGGGGGAGGGGGATATTACAGTACAGTATTTATTTTTTTAATTATGAAATATTCTATAACTAAGTTAAATCCATATCCAGAGCAATAACAACACATTAAACTTCAACTCCTGATGGCAAAGCTGAATATTATAATGATCCACCTCTTACCAAGGACACATTACCACACGTGGTTCCTAACATAAATTCAGAAATAGCTACCAGAATTTGTCCTAAATTAATTTGGTACTGTAAAGTTCTACTGTAACTTACTGTTATTTTTTGTGACACTGGTAAGTTTATAAGAGTAAAGTTAGATAATTTTTTTTTTACAAAACTTGGAAACCAGCAACAGATCATCTTGGAAAAGCTCTGAGATTCGCAATGACCTGCAGGAAAAGAAGGACTCACAACACTGATTACCTTTCAATATCAATTTGTCTTCTCTCTCTACATTTAAACTCTCATGAGCCAAAATACATACAGTTTATGGAAAACAGAAATACATGAATTATATGGATTCATTATAATAGTAAGCATTAACTGGGAATTATCTATTTACATCTAAACTGATTAATTAGTATTCCATGTGTATAAAATACAAGTTGAAAACCCACTTCAGATGTCTGATGGAAGACCTGTCATCAGTTAGGAAGAGAAAGCTTAAATAGTAAAATATCTTATTATACAAATAAAACAACCAAGCATTGTGTATCTTTTTTTACAATTTCTTGACAGTGAATTAGATTTAAAAATGTTTATTAGAATGAAATAAAATATTTAAACCATGCAGAGAATGTAAGCCCAAAATGATACTTATGGTAAATAGCTTGTAATATAATTACCAAATATTTATAAAATATATACTGTACAGTAAGCAACTGAAAACAAAAAAAAAATATTTGAAATAACAACAATGCATGATGTCTTTCTTGAAGCTTCAATAGTGTTACCTGTGGAGTACTTTTATTTTAAGCAAGGCATAATATTAACACAATATACAGTCAACCCTCGCTTTACGCGGTCCCACATTCCGTGTTTCCACGTTTACGCGGTACCCTGCTGGAAACCGGAATGCTCACATTCCGCGGTGCGTGTACCCCTTTACGCGGAGAGCGGCTGGCGAGCCGCACCATTTTTGGATCCAAACCTCCCGCCATCTACCATGTTGTGTAAGCGGCGCGAGCAGGGTGCGCTCAAGGTCGCCCAGTCATCAAAACATTACCGAGTTCTTCACCCGCCACTCACCACAGCCGGCCCAAATCAGTGATAGTGATAATTATAGTGAGGATATGGACTTTGAGGGGTTTGACAAAGAGGCCCTGCAAGCCTCTGTGGTGGATAGTGATACAATTGATACAAGTGATACAGGTGAGGGCCAATAATCTGCCCTCTGCCTCGGAACCAACCCCCCATCCCCGTGTGCCCAGCCATCTTTTCTACTAATTTAAGTGTTAAAAAACCTAATATTATTGATATTTCTCTTAATTATTAATTGTGTGTGCATACCATCATAAAGTTAAGATAAAATTTTTACGACAACATAGTTGTGTGTCATCAAAAAGTGGAGTTTGGGGGTCGGCCCGGTCTGTATTTCAATTAATCCCATATGTTATGTTGTTCACTTTACGCGTTTCTCACTTTCCGCGGTACCCTGTGGGTTGAATTAACCGCGTAAAGTGAGGGTTGACTGTATAGATCAAACAGTAGAGTATCTACAGTACACTTATTACACATACAATAAAACAGATTTATTTATACTGCACAGATATATAAAGTAGATAACTTTAGGTGAGAAGCTCATTGCCATGCACAAACAAGTGATGGTCACTTTCCATCTTAAAACATATACAAATACTGTATGGATATGGTGTTTGCTTACAAACATAAATACATAGTGAAATGAAAAGTTTAATGATACCATATCAACAATATCAAACACTTCAAGTTTAACTTCTAACAAATTCAAATTGCACAACTTACCGTAACTTTAATTTTTGTAAAGGACGACAGATCAATGATACCCACACCTTCTCTACATGCCTGGTATTCCTCACGAACACAATCCATGAAAAACGGTTTTCTAAAGGAACCAGCTGGCATTTGTGCTGGCATATCTGTTTCTGAAAATTTATATCCAGATTATGAGTTATGAGCTTAAGCTATATTATTAAACCCTTATTTAAGCAAATACAGTACCCCGGTAGTCTACAAATTTAAGTGACTGATAAGCCACACTCTATATCTGGAGCAGTATACTCCATTCAGTTTATTCACTAGATAATTAAATTATATTAACCATCATTGTTGTGGTCAAGTGAACTATTTGAGTTCAGCACTTAAACAGAGGAGTGTGTATAAATGCTCAGGGTGTCTGTGTATTGTTTTTGTGCAAATTAAGGTAACGCAATATTTTGTTATTAAGGTAACTATGAAAGGCAGAAGTATATAAAATATAAGGCTATGTGGACCATAACTTCATAAGAGCCAAAACAGAAAAACACCAGAAAATGTGGCTAAAATTTTGGAAAATGGAACTCACTATATCTCTGGAACTAATTGTGATAGCACAATCATTCATGTAACTAATTGAAGATAATGTACTCAGGATTATGCTGCATTATCAGAAACATGTAAAAAACAATCTTGTCATGATTATTAGTAATCATGAAAATGATCATAACCTTAGCAATTTAGAGGCATTATATTTTGATGAAATTTTAATATTTTTATATAGGATACTCATGTACACTCTCCCCAAAAAGTATCGGCTCCTTTTCTCACTGATACAATGTGTCACAATGGACGAATATTTCCGATCACTAATTGTGATTCCTGCATTATGTTGGTAGGCCTGCCTTCCAAGTATCTGTGAGATAGCCAGTTATTATTTCTGACATTTGTTGTAATTATGGTGAATCACCTTGCTCCATCTTTTGGAGAATAATATAATGATATTAATGTACCAAAAATATATCAACGGCAGTTAAATAGTGGGTGTTTTTTGCTGGAAATTCATGACCAACACTTGTACCCGAGACTCATTGGAAAACACAGCTTGCACCCACAGGCATGGAGAAATATCACTTTCTGAATAACAGTACAGTATAGCTATAAATCAGTGTTTGTTAGTTATGTCTTGAAGGGCGATGATACTGCCTCAAGTTGCCTGTGATATCTGCATAGTGACTGTCAATCCCATGGGAGGACTTGACATCGTCTAGTAGTGTGTATCATATAATGTTCTGCGTGCATGAATCATGAGATGATACTTTATATTCAGAACTGTTACCTCATCAATTGAGGTAGAAATAATATCAAATTGCAGTGAACCATAATGTCATTTTAATTGGATATGGCATCATAATACACCTGTAATTATTATACCTGTATTTGCAAATTAATGTAATATCGAATCATAGTGTTTCATATTTTGTTTGAAGCAATTCCATCGTAACCTTGGTTCATGAAAACATAGTAACGTTATATTCCTATTTGGCAACCCATCCCCAGGGGCTGAAATAATATCTAAGGTGAATAAATCAACAGGGTTACTCATGACGTTATTGGTTTTGCATATGGTATCACAATTCCTCTCTTTCATTATGTACATTATGTAGAGAATAGGAGGTATACTGCAGATATCATGGTAATTATCAGGTACAAGAAGAAAGAACGAAAAGTGCAACTCACAATCAGAAATATCAACCGAACTGAGACTGCTGTGCATGTGTTATTGTGTTAATTTTCAAATACATCAGGCCCAGGGGGGCCGATACGTTTTTGGGAAAGTGTACATCACAACTAATCATTATCAATACTGAAAATGCGATTACCATAAACATTAGCCACGTTTTCTTGCTGGGCAGAGGTTAAGACTCTCACTCCCATGTAGGGATGGAGGGAGGCAGCCACTGATTGGCCGAAAAGGCATGTGACGCACGCTCTCATTGGCTGAGCGTCCATGTGGTTCCCTAGACATCATCCACCACACACTACCATTGAAGCATCTCGGCAAATGGGGAGATGATCGATAGCAGACCTAACTCCATTACTGCTGAATTATGGCCGACAATCCCTTACAAAAATGGGATTTTTGACCCGACATACTATTACTTCATGCTCCCTCGGCCTGAGAATCAAGAGGCAATAGGTGTAGGAAGACAATGGGATAGAAACAAAAAAAGGTTTTGGTTGGGATGGTGCTTACGAGTTATAATCTGCATAGCTTCAGTTACCACATACCGTATATCACGGCCTATAAGACGAAATTTGAACATTAAAAAAATCTGCCCAAAGTTAGGGGGTCGTCTAAACCACCAAGTTTAAAATTCTTACCTCTTAAATATTGTGGTTTAGTGTGTCAAGAGTGGTGATGAAAACATCGTAAGCCACTCACAAGGTCTTACAACTAATTATTTTATACTGAAACTTACGTTTGGCAAGCTGGATTCAAATTAAGATTACCGGTATATTAAAATAATAAAAATGTATTATAAACCTGTCTAACATACCGTAAAAGAGATTTATACCCCTATAATAAACACAGCTATCATCACACACCCCTCCCCACGCCCCCCCCCCATTTGCCAGTGAGGAGCCGTGGAGGTGGTCAGTAATGCATACCGGTATCGGTATATTTACTCATAATAATATTTATCTCCTATAAATAATTGATTTAAATTTTATTTTTTTCCAAAGAATATTCAGTAAATGAGTGCATTAATTCTTGAAACTATCGACGGTTAATTACAGACGCTCAAGTGACGTCACTAGTGTTTACACTACACCAGCTGGTAATATTTGATGCCATTACTTGAAGTGAATTGGCCTTATTTTAAGTAACTAACTATAAATAAATACAAAAATTAAAAAAAAAGATCAAAACTGAGAAATAATATACTGTATGTATGTTGTGTTGTCAAAGTAAGAGGAACAATTGTGTAAGTACGTAATATTTTTTCACTCAAATCCTAATGAAACACTACTGGAGAACATTCCTTTGTCGCAAAACAGTTTATAAATTAAAGAAAATAATTACAGTGTGTTTAATATATTACAGTATATTATAAATAAATAAATAAAACAAATAATTCGGTAAATCTATTTAAAGTAAATGGAAAATAAGCAAACATGTTATTTACCAAGACCCTTCCGTCTGGCTCAGGGTGAGATGTAGGGGAGATAAAGAAGGCTATTTATAGCCCATCAGAAGTGACCAGTACCCTAATGCACCATAAATAATTCATTGAACATTCATTTTTTGTACATAGTATATTCAGTATATATATATATATATATATATATATATATATATATATATATATATATATATATATATATATATATATATATATATATATATATATATATATATATATATATATATATATATATATATATATATATATATATATATATATATGTGTAATAAATGTATGTAGTAAGTACATACTGGTAACCTTTTTCACTCAAATCCTAATGAAACACCACAATTAGAATACGGTGGTTGCTGTTGAACCACATGTTGTATAAATAGTCACACCACCGAGACGAGGGAACACTCCCAACACGCTTCAGTGACGTCACTAGTGTTTACACTACACCAGCGGGTATAATTTGATGACATTACTTGAAGTGAATTGGCCTTATTTTAAAAAATCAAGGATGGTTGGTAAAGGACTACTGAGTCAGTGGGTAAGTGTCACATTTGGGGTACTGGTCTTATACAGCAAATAGAGCTCAAAAGCTACTTTTTAAATGGAAATTTGGGGGGGGCGTCTTATGCACCCCGCCGCCTTATAGGCCGTGATATACGGTACAGCATTTTTCCAATTTAACGAACTAATTCGAGCCACCCCTTTCCTTTAAATAAAAATCTCCGCTAAATCGAATTTCCGTTATTTTCGCTTGATTTAGCGAACTAGTGTGATTCCCTTAAATTTCCGCTAAATCGAATTTCTGTTATTTTCGCTTGATTTGGTGAGCTAGTTCCATTAAATTCCGCACCAAGTGCGCCACTTGGTGGGTTGGGTGTGTTTACATCCGCTCAGTCTGTGTCCTGCCACCACTGTGTGTGTTGTTCACTGCTGCCTCTAGGTCTACAACTTGATCAACTAACTACTGCTTACATATCATGCTGAAAGTCTTGGAAGTCTCAGAAAAGAAATAGTGTGGAGGAGAAAGTCAAAAGAGTGAGGCTATCAATTGGAAACAAGTTTGGAAATGATAGAAAAATTTGAAAACAAACACCGAACTCCCTAGTTTAAGATAAGCCATGAACAATGTTTCTAATGTTTCTATGTACATATCATGTGTCTGAGGTGTCTCCGTAGGTGTGAGCGTATTAACGGAATTAAGCTCGATTTAGCGACCTAGTTCACTAAATCGAGTGAAAAATAACGGAAAAAATTCCTTCCGTTAAATCAAGAGTGTACTGTACTTTTACCTTTCATGATTTAATTAGAATAAGATAACTTTAATTGAAACATAATAGTACCACAAAGACAGTACCAAAACACAAGCAATGAAAAACAAGCACCATTATGCAAGCAACAAAACACAAGCAACATGAGCAATTTAGATATACCTCTTTTTAAAACTAATGTGCTGAATGCAAATTTGAGAGATTGATCCTGAAATCCCATTGAATAACAAAGACTAAAGAAATAGCTAATAGAGATAAGACTTGCAAAATGTAGGTAAACATCAAAGGGAGTGACAGCCATGGCTGAAACTCAAGTAGACATAACATGGTTAAAAGATCCTGTCTTACATAATTATCAGTGTTAACATATTTTCAGTATATATATATATATATATATACTGTATATATATATATATATATATATATATATATATATATATATATATATATATATATATATATATATATATATATATATATATATATATATATATATATATATATATATATATATATATAATTGAATTGGATCAGCTTACTACTGTGTGTATTGTCAAAATATAAAGGTCGTTCAAAGCCCATGCGAGTTCCAAAAACAGCCCCTCGAGCTTCCTGTTCACTATAGATGGGGGAACATCGTAACTTTCTTGCCAATCTGTACTCACACTGCATTGGATATAGAATTTCATAGTGCCTGAAAAAAAAAAAAAATTATAAATCCTTGTAGAAGAAAAAATTCACAATATCTATCAGATGCCATTTCCTAACATGTGGTAAAGACTATCCTAACTCTACATCTCTGGTATGTTTTACTTTAAACAGCAAACTTCTAAATTTATGTAAGATTGTATCGTTAACGGGGTTGCGTAACTGTGATACCACCAGCCTAAATATCTTGTCATTACCCTATTGCATCATTATTTTAATTTTAATAGTTTTATTAAATATCCCAAAATTAATTCAACAAATGAAGAGCACCCTATAAAACTCTGCTTACCTGCCCACCACTTCCCTCGTCCTTTCTTTAAGGTAGCGTCGATTATTGTGAAGATCGATGAAGCGTCTTACATCAAAAGGCAACATTTCTGTCGCTAATGAACCATACATAATCCACTCTGCTATAGCCTGCCCGGCACCCCCGGCACCTTGTAAACTGTTGCCATTCATTCCAACTGCCACAAAATAATTATCAATCTGTAATGTAGGAAAATAATTTTAATAAGACAGTAATTGAAATTCTGCTGTAGGTCTAAACAATGCCAATAAAATAGAATAAGCTCTGTCAGGACTACACAGTATGTGAAACCAAGGACAAGTGCTCTCAAACTGTAATGTCAAGAGAAGGAAAATGGCAGCTCAGTCCTTGAGTTCTGAATACAGTACTGTTAACTAATTATCTGAAGAGGAGCCATCCATAAGTAAATCTATTTCATAATCAACTGTAAATATGCTAAGACGAGCCTTTCCTTTGGGTACAAGAGGTCTCTAATTCTAGAGATATTGCGTGAATAGAAAATTAATCTAAAAAAAATCACTGCCATCAAGGAAATGCTGATTTAAATTCATGTAAAATCATCTACAACAAAATATTACACATGATCTATGCACAGGGTATTGCTATGATGCATTACAATAAGTATGGAGATTATCTATTGACATTATATGAAAGAAAGAGAGAGAGAGTGAGTGAGTGAGTGAGTTGGTGTATGTGTGTGTGTGTGTGTATGAGGGGGGTTCTACTTGTTTTCTCAAATCTCTCCTGCTTTTTTTTTCTTGTACTCCTCGTGAGAAAGACAAGAAATGAGTCCTCTCTCTAAACTTAATGTTTTCCTTGATCCCTTCCAATTATGTGGGAGAACAAAAAAGATTAAAGACTGAAAAGAAAGTGACCAAATTCAGTAATAATGTACAATGAAGAACAATGGATATAAATTCTGCCAAGAAAATCAATAATTTTATTGTGCAGCAGTAACAATCATGACTGTGGTAGCTCTACATGGGTTGTCATTTTCATAACATTGAGTCAATAAAAGTGAGAGAATAGTAATGATCTCTCATGTGACTCTGTATACCAGTCAGTACCTCGGGTGTTTCTCCCAAAATCCACTTTCCATCAGGTGTAAAGTTGTCTGGTGCATTGACTAGAGGCTGATACTGAAAATCTTTCAATATGGGGAAGCGGTGCTCTGCTGCCTCACAAATGGGTCCTGCAAGGAATAAAACAAAGATAAAGTAAAAACTAATAAAGCCTTCAATGAAAATAAAGGAAACAGAACAGAAAGACAAATTGTGACTACAATAAACAAAGTCATAGGTGTTTATTAATGGATGCAGAAAGGCTTGTTTGAGGGAGAAACAAAAGTTACATTAACAATGCTGGTATTGAAAACCAAGATTTACATCTCAAAACTGTACCATACAAATGACTGTAGACTGAAAAACTGTATGTGCAGTCCCGGACGAAAGTTCTCACTACAGTCAAGGTGAATGGGGTAAAGTCCGCCCACCTTTACTGGACGACGGATCCGCTGTCCAGCCAGCACCTTCCTCCCTCCCTCCCTACACACACACTCAAACAAGCACCTTGTGGCATCCATGCTGTGGTGTGGTGGATGTAATCCTAGACAAGGTTCTTGAAACTCCAGGGCACGAGCAGTAGATATATTCAACAAGTGTACAAGATTGGGCGTGATAGCCAACCGATACAGGAGCGGTTACTAGGGACCCCGGACCATAGGCAGGCCGAGGCCGATCTGAGGGAAATTAGCTAGCCAGGCAAGGGGAGTTGCTAGACATTCCTAGGACAATAAATGAGGTCTTCTAATTACTCGACTAGCGCGGTACAGACATAGTACATCGGGACATAGTAAATGAACATAGGCATTAGACATAAGCATGGACATCAGACATGCTATAATAATATGTAGTAATACAGACATGTGAATAAATGGTACAATGAATGGTAACAAGAGTCCTGGTGTCAGGCGTGTTCACATATCTTGGTATGTACATATCTATACACATGCCACACAGGCTACAGGACAGTTGGACTGGTTACTGATTGAATAATTTTGCTGACAATATGTGTTTTGCAAAATTTATGTAATCTAAAGAATAGATTGATTGAATCACTGTTTTATTTTTTAACTGTAAATTTATCTATGAAGATAATGAGTGTACTGTATAAAACATTAAGTAGGCAGCATTTATGGTTACCTATCCGAGTATAACTAATAATACAATACTGTATGGTCATGCTACTTTTATCTTAATTTTTCCATCAAACACTAATCAATCAGTGTTGTGACCAACTTCTTGTTGTGACACACTTTTATATTGTCACTCATACAGTTTGTCAGCTATACTCACATCATGTCATCCATTGTAGGGATCAAGTCAAGGTTACATGCAGTAGACCCCATGATAAGGCAATAAACACGGAGGATGATAAAGCATTCTCTTATGAACCATATTATTCCTCACATTCATGCCTAGTTTTCTGGCTACCATTCTGAGGGACAATACAGCTTGGAGGATTCTGACATTGTTGTGAACCCGAGCCACCAAAACATACTCTGCACTATGTCGTGATCATCTGATAACGTTGTAACCTCTTATGTCAAATAAAGTAAAATTTAATTGAGTAAATTGTTTCGGGAATTTATTTAAAAAGCAATGACATCCTTCCCTTGACCTTATTGAGAAATGGGAGAGCTTGATAGTTGAACTGTGAGGGTGCTTGTTTGAGTGTGTGTGTAGGGAGGGAGGGTGGCGATGGCTGGACAGCGTACCGTCGTCCAGTAAGGGTGGGCAGACTTTACCCCATTCACCTTGATTGAAGTGAGAACTTTCATCTGAAACTGTACGAATCAAAACTGAAATCATAGCAAATAAATGAACTCCTGTGTTGTCCATGATCCCAGCCAACCGACATCGAAGCAAGAAGCGATTTACATAGAAAATTAACTACTCTATTGCAAAACATTCAATACACAGTAAAATCTTGGTCATCCAGCATGGAAGGTGCCAGTTCATCAAATATGATGGTTAACAGAATTATTCTTACCAAGAGAGTAAAATACAGGTATATGACTCACTACTCCAGTATAAGTACCAGTTAAGTACTTTTGTTTCTGGAAGGTTTTATGCACTCTAATCTTAGAGTTTCATTTAATTCAATATAGGTATTCACTTGGTGTCTATATCATCAATCAAAAAGAAGATTTAATAATCCTTACAACCAAAACTCTGCTGTACTGGACATGTGTGCTGGCGGATATAAACAATGGTCGTTACAAAACAAAAGGTGACATAGTAGTGGCAGATTATTAAGCCCTTTGCAGCACCAACAGACTATTGTACATTCTATCTTATTTAATAAAGTACACTTCACCCCAATAGTTACATACATCAATGCACTATAAAATGTATTACCTTAGTTAAATGCTGATCACCTCCTCAGTAATATGTAACAACAAACCACTGGTGTTTTCCAACTTAAAAAATAACTTATTTTCCCACTAGTTTCTCTGAGTTTATTGAAGAGTACATTATCTCCTGATTAACATATACGTATCAACAATCTGTCTTAGAACTTACTGAAGTGTTCATCATCTCCTTTCAAAGATTCCCTCCAGTTGTGAGGAATGCCATTCTCAAATGCTGGCTTGGCCTCGTGCTCGAAGCCTCCCACAATATACTGCTGGTTGCGTGTGAGGCAAAACGTGTGTGAATCGTAATCTCGAACAACTGGTAGCTCCTCTAATGCCTCCAATACTGGCCTGAAAATTCATAAGAGGTCAGTCAGGTACATAATTAAGGATCACTCCGGTCATAGAGGCACACAGGATGAACATACAAAAGTCAGGTACACAGTGAAGTTACAGTCAGTACAGTTTATGGTAATAAAGGAGTTTCATCCCTTATCTATTTACAGTACTATGATATCCACTTGCAAAACTACCATCTATAAATGCTTTTAAATCAAGGCAAACTACAGTAAAACCTTGTTGGGGCGGATATTGCTTAAGCCGGACGAAATTATTTCCCCCCCCCCCCAAAATAATCCATAAAATAAAATATCTGTACTGTAATTAAAAAAGAAAAAAAAATTTGGACAAAATTTGTCCTCAGATGACATGTCCGCAAAATTTCAAGGGACCAAGGCGTCAGCAAGCGGGACACAGGTGACCAAGAATTATCATTTGTTGTTTTGGGGAATATTATTTCATTCGCTCCAGTAATGATACACTGTTTCTTATTATATTATTGTGGGTAAATGCATGGTTTACATAATTTGTTTATCACTGTGCCCATCACCACTTTCAAATTAGACAACAAGATATGTATTTCTCCTATACCTATTTTAATGGTATGCCTGGCAATAGGACTAAGTGAGTGATCACTAGTTAGAGCGTTGTCTGCTCTTTTAATTCTCCTCCCTCCCTGCCATATTTCACTGGATTTACTGTTATTTTTAGTGTTTACTGTTATAATCGTGCTTAATATTAATCAATCATGGCATTGTAGCCAGGTTAAACTCATTACTGTAACCACCATAATACTGGGCCAAGCTGTGGTGTTATGGTTGTTTTTCAACTCATATTTTTGGGTAGATATACATAACATCAAAATTAGCGAGGTTTCAATGTACAATGATAGAAGCATTCATAAACTAATGACATTCATTCAGAAATATTCACAAAATTCTGATGTTTCTTACTTTGTATGCAAATAGAAGTGCTCAGCTGGAAAAACTGGAATGCGGACTTTTGGTGAACTCTTTTCTCCCAACTTGCGAGCCCACTGTGAGGATATAACCATGTACAAAGGTTACATAAATATAATACTCTTTGATGTCAATAATTCATTGATTAATTCCGTATATGCTACAGACAAACTGCATAATCTGGCAATTCACGAAACAATTAAATTCTCTAAGTAAAATAGTTAAATCAATGTTTCAATCGAGTTTTGTTAGGTTATAACCTAATGTAACCTAACTAATGTAACGTTACATTATATTTGTTAGAATTAAACCTTTCATATGCAGACTGTTGGTTTATTCACGTCTGTCAATTTCATAACCTTTGTCAATCATTTCTGTTAGCATGAAAGAACAGTTATTTTAGAATGTCATTCGATATGTGTTCTGTCATTCGGTTATGAAATATGTCAAATAGGTATATAACAATGTCTCAACGTATATGTGAAAAGGTGTACTGTATTGCAAAAAAGATAACTCAGGGATAACAATTCACAACTATTTTACATTATGGATTGTATTTTTTGTATCTCTCCTACTGTACTGTACAAGTACAGTGTATTCTGTTGTATACTATACTAAATACCCAGTAAATTACAAAACAAAAAGGTCCATCCCCCAGTTCTAATGCCTACACACTGACACTTTTCCTACTATAAAAAAAGATAATGAAATTCCCTGGTAGACCAAATCCACACCTTCACCATATGCATGATGTACACCCATTTTTTTTATTCAATGGAAGTCAATACACAAATGAGGTTTAGGACATTGAACTTAATCAACATTGATTGACTGATCAGGTGGCATAAATCTTACTGCCAAAAAAAAGAGAGGAAATATCCAATATACTGCGCATCAAAACAATGTATATACCGTAATATCTCTGTTAGCAGGAATCCCTCAAACCCGAAACTCTCTGATAGCCGGAATTCAAATTTTCTCAGAAAATCATTCCCAAAGCCAGAATTTTCCGGAAAATTTTCTCGATACAGTAGGGTCGGGATATATCTCGAGATAGGGTCCAAGGACAAAAGCAAGTTTGCGGATGACACCAAAATAGGGCGGCAGATTAATTCAGGGCAGGATGCAAATGCATTACAGGAGGTCTAAATAAACTGCAGGGGTGGTCTGAAAAATGGCAAATGAAATTCAACACCAGCAAGTGCAGAGTACTTAATATTGGAAGAACAAATACTGACAATGTATAAAGCCTAAACAACATCAACCTAGAGAAGTCGACTTGTGAAAGAGACCTAGGGGTACTTGTAAGCCCAGACCTACGGCCTAGAAAACAGTGCGTTAATGTTCGAAATAAGGTAAACAGAGTATTGGGTTTTATATCTAGAAGCGTAAGCAATAAGAGTGCACAGGTCTTATTGCAACTATATCTTGCGCTAGTCAGGCCCCACCTCGATTATGCGGTTCAGTTCTGGTGCCCTTATTATAGAATGGATATCAATTCACTAGAGTCGGTGCAGCGAAGAATGACGAAAATAATTCCGGGACTTAGAAACCTTCCACATCAGGATAGGTTAAAGAAACTTAACTTGCATTCCCTAGAAAGACGAAAAGTGTGGGGAGATATGATAGAAGTATTTAAGTGGGTGAAAGGAATCAATAAAGGGGATATAGATAAAGTTCTTATAATATCCGAGCAGGATAGGACTCGGAGCAACGGATTTAAGTTGGATAAGTTTAGGTTTCGAAGGGAGATAGGAAGAAACTGGTTCACAAATAGGGTGGTGGACAAGTGGAACAAGCTTAGCAACTTTGTAGTAAGTGCTGGAACTCTGGAAAGTTTCAAAAGGAGGCTAGATAGATTCATGGATAATAGAGAGTGGTAGTAACTCTCGACAGGAGCTGCCATGCACAGGCCAACCGGCCTATTGCAGACTCCTTATTTTCTTATGTTCTTATTTTCTTATGTAAGGATGTTCACTATACAGTAGTCCCTCGGTTAACGAACACAATTCGTTCCAGAAGGTTCGTTAACTGAAACCATTGTTTCAATGGGTTTTTGGTTAATTGGTTCCAGCTCACCGAAAATTACCTTAAGTAAAAATAAAAAATGCAGTAAAGTACACTTACTTTGAGGTGTGTATGTAGAAGGCTCCTGGATGATGATGCTGATGTCAATTTGAAGTGGGAGGTGGAGAAGGGAAAAGAGAAGGAAGTGGGGGTGGAGGAGAAGGGAGAGGAGAAGGCATTGGGGTGGAAGAGAAGTCGCCCCATGCCGCCATTTCACCCATAAAATATTAGTTCACTTGGTGTAATTCCAGATTATTTTCTTTAAATCAACACTGCACTGCATTATATATTGTCAATATGTAAAATAAATTTCAGAATGACCAATAATTTGACTGGAAACAGAAGAAAAGCGTTTATGTTGAAGAGTCTCAAACAAGATGTTCCTTCCTCTGAACCGATAAACAAACTGATGCCAAGCTTGGTGTGTTGAGTGGCCGTTTGGCGCGCAAAAAACTAGTTTCCTGTACTTCAGTTATGTTCAATAATTGTTAAAATGGCTAAAAAATTTAAAATAAAACTTTTAAAATGATTGAATAGTACAACCTTCTTGATATTTACTAAAATGGTAACGAATTTAAGCCCTAGAACTGCTTACTGTATTGGCGGACTAATACTACAGCTGGTGAGCAGCCAAATGCAAGCGAAAATATGTTGGGAAAAATTCGTAAGGAATTCATAAACCAAAATTTTTTCTTTAACCAAAGTGAAGAATCCTATGGAAGGTAATTGCTAACCGAAATTTCGTTAACCGAGGCGTTCGTTAACTGAGGGATCACTTTATACTAAATTGCAATATATAAATACAGGTAATCAATGGGGAAAATGGGGTTAGGTTCGGGAGGCCAAAAAAAGTGACTAAACTTGACATAAAATGGCACAGTCTAAAGTTAGCAGAATATAAATTGCATTGCTGCAACCCTTGCAAGACAGTGAATAATTTGAATAAAGACATCATATATTTTGCACAAGAGATAAAAAATTTAGTCATTTGTACTAAAATGTACTAATGCTAGAATTTGTATGTGTATTGCAAACTATAGCATGTTTCATATTCAAACTAATCACTATCTTACAAGAATCCCAGCAATGTTAATTATATTCTCCCATGTCAGTTCAGTGACATTTTAAAAGAGAAAAACTTAGTCACTCTTAAGGACAGATAAATATATAAGCACTAGACCTTGGCATCAACTGTCAAACATATCACCTCACCCGCCCCCCCCCACCCCCCCATCTTGCCAGCCAGGGTTTAGTGGTTTTAGGCTAAAAGGTTTTATCTTATATAATATCACAGACTAAAGTTAGGAGAATATAATATTCAAAATGATCATCATATTGTAAGAATTCCATCAATGTAAATTATATTCTGGTCCAGTAATTTGTATGAATTTTATGAGCTAAAACAAATATCTTCAGTTAATAAAAAAAAAAAATATTCTTCACGACACTATCTGTCAATCAAAGTACCCCAACTTGCCTCCCCCCTCTTCCAACCGAGCCAGATGGTCGGTCGGTCGGTCCCAACCCTACCCCCCACCCTCCACCTTCCCTCCCTACCAGAGAAATGTTGGGTGAAAAAACTAGATTTTTAACTTTTAGTAATAAATAATACCTCAGACTAAAGTTAGGGTAATATAATTGACATTTCTGGATTCCTTGCAGGTCAGGGAATATTTTGAATGTAAACGTCATATATTTTGCACAAAAGATAAAATATTTGCTTTGTGTAAACCAAATTATTACATTAGATCTAAAATTTGTATGTCTAAAGCAAAATCCATGATGTTTATATTCAAAATGATCATCATATTGTAAGAATTCCAGCAATGTAAATTATATTCTGGCTGGGTAATTTGTATGAATTTTATGAGCTAAAACATATATCTTCATTAAATAAACAAAGAAATATTCTTCAAGGACACTATCTGTCAATCAAAATACTCGGCCCTAGCTGGGTCGGTCCCTCCCTCCCTCCCCCCACCCCCCACCTTCCCTCCCTACCAGAGAAGCTTTGGGAGAAAATAGTAATTTACATTTTTAGTAATAAATAATAACTCAGACTAAGTTAGGATAATATAATTGACATTTCTGGATTCCTTGCAGGTCAGGGAATATTTTGAATGTAAACTTCATATATTTTGCACAAAAGATAAAATACTTGCTTTGTGTAAACCAAATTAGTACATTAGATCTAAAATTTGTATGTCTAATGCAAAATCCATGATGTTTATATTCAAAATGATCATCATATTGTAAGAATTCCAGCAATGTAAATTATATTCTGGCCGGGTAATTTGTATGAATTTTATGAACTAAATTAAAAAAAAAAAAATTATACTTCACGCGTATATGAGTACCCTAGATGCACCGCGGAAAGTGAAAGTCCGGTTCTGGCAAGGTACCGCGTAAATGAGAAATCGCGGAAAGTGAAACCATGTAAAGCGGGGTAATACTGTATATATATATATATACAGTATATATATTTCATTAGCCCAATAAACAGGCGGACTTCTACATCAACACCTCAACCCGCCAGGATTCGAACCCACGGCCCACGAGCCCATGACTGTGACCGGGGAACGCTAACCGCTGGACCACCAGGATACTAAAAGCAGTCCTAGACTCTGTTCACGGCGCCTGAAATAAAATAAAATATCGCTATATATAAGAAAATGTCGATAATTTTGGTAGCCCATGATATAAATTTTTTTTTTATATAAAGTCGTTATATATCCTGACCCTACTGTACCCGGAAAATTCCGGGGATGGATGAGTTTTTTCCAGGTTTAAGAGATGAAAATCAGGCGCATTTTCTGTAACTTCCGAGAAAATTTTTCCGTTACCCGGAGAATTCCGGGAAATTCCGGGGTCGAGGGATTTTTTCCGGCTTTGAGAGTCATCTCGGTACCCGGGAATATCTCATTCCCGGAATTGCTCTGCACTAATTGTTCCAGTTAATGGGGATGTCACTGTAATTTGTATGCACTGTACTATAACGTAATATAACTTACCATTCCAGAAGTGTTGACAAAATATTCACAATGGATGGTACCCTGGGAGGTTTCAATATATGTGACTCTTGGGACAATCTGTGAGTGTGGTACTTCATCTGTCACTATACGTTCTACAGAGCAGTTTTCCACATATAAGGCACCTGAAAAAATCATATTGACTCATGTTTTCTCTTTATTATTAAGACAATCACCATAAAAAAAATTAAGATAATGAACAATATTCAACCAAAGGACAAATGTCAAAAAACAGTTAAATTGTAGAGTACAAATATTTGATAAATGGTAAATACTGCAGCACATTTCTGATTTTCACTTCAGGCTTCTTTTCTTGTGTTACTGTTGGTTCTGATCATAAAATGGATTAACACTTGAAACAAGACCTGACCCATGTGATACAGAGTTTCTGCCTGCCAGTATGCCTCACATTCACATTCCTACACATCTACCTGTAATCCTGTGTGCACACTCATTTCATCAATAGATTATCCCTGTGCATCTCTACTCAGCCACAATTTGTGCTAATCACTCTTTATTTATGGCTTTGTGACACTTAAAAGTGCATTATGTGTGTACTAGTGGGAATGCAGACGTGACTGTATTTTAGACTTCTTGCCTCTAGAGGACAACCATTGCTTCCAATTCACCCTTTTAAACAATCATGAAGGGGAGGAATGTAAGACTATAAGATCAGTTATTGGGGCAGTCTGTTCTAAATGCCAAACGTGAGTTGCACAACCAGAGCTATTTGGCTATAGGCTTAGCATCGAAATAGGATTTAATGACCAACTATCTATTTTCCTCATCAACCTACAAACCCAGCTAAACCCTTTAGTACATTCCCATATATATACAGGTGCTCCCCGACTTACGACGGGGTTTGGAACCCAAATCCAGGTCGTAAGTCTGACATAGATTAAAAAAAAAAAAAAAAAAAAAAAAAAAATTTCAATTAAAAAAAAAAAAAATCTACAATGAAATACAGCACACTAAAAGTAATAAATAATGAGGAATGGATACAGTACAGTAAAAGCAATAAATAATGAAGAATGGATACAGTGTGACTGAGCACTTACCTTAAATGTAGTCAGCTGAATGCACACAGGGCCCCCATAATTTTCTATTTACAGGATACATGGAGACTATATTAATTGGATGAAGCAGAAGAGGAGACAGGGCTGGGTGGGTCATCAATGTTGCTTTCTTCAGACAGGTTTATGTGCTGTGGAAACTTGCTGGTTGAAGGTATTGGATCATCTTGAGGGAGTAAAGAGGCAGCACTAGTGGGGCATGAGGAGACAGCACTGGGGGACTTCTTGAAATAGATGTCCAATTTAGACTGCACAGTTTGCTTTTTCTTTTCATTATAAATCTCCCTGTAACAAGCAAGTGACTCTTGGACCATTCTGTCAACTTTGGCATAACGCTCATAATTTTGATCCATGCCATCAAACATTTGCATTCCTTTATTAATTGTAGCAAATGCCTCTGCCATATGTTTCACTGAAAACCTTTTGGGGGGTGCAGGTTCTTCTTCTACATTTTGTCTCTCTTCTTCCTCTGCAATTTTCTGTGCATCTAATTCAATAAGATCCTTGTTACTGAGCTCTTCTGCTACACTTTCAACCAACTGTTCAACATCTTCATTATCAATTTCTAACTCCAACTGTTTACATAACTCCACTATCTTGTTACTAATATCCGAAATAACTTCATTTTCATTAACTCCTTTAAAACTGTATGTCCGCTCAGGCATGCGCTTCCACAAGAATCCAGTCTCATCCACATTGAATATTTGCTCAGGAAAATAATTCCCTTCCACAATCACTTCATCTAACTCCTCCTTAAGAGCTTCGGCAGCACCAACATCGGCACTAGCTGCCTCTCCACTCACCTTAACATTGTGAGTTTATTAAATCTATCAAACCACCCATGACTTCCTGTAAAGGTTTGATCACATTCATCTCCTGCCTGCTCCTTCAGGCTTTGGAACAGGCTTCTTGCTTTAGCCTGTATGGTTAGAAGGCTTAAGGGTACACGCTTCTGTATCTGGTCTTCTATCCATATCACCAATAATTTTTCCATATTGTGAATAGGACCTTGTCTTTTCTTTGATATTATAGTTCCCTTTATAGGTGTTGTTCCTTTCACTACATCACGAATACGTTCCTTGTCCTTCAGAATAGTGGATATAGTCGAGTGTGAGAAACCTAGGTCGTGTGAGATTGTTGCTACTGTTTTTCCATTCCCATGCTGTGTTATTATCTTCATTTTCATCTCAAAAGTAATTGCCTGTCTCCTTTTCTTTGGAACACCACCAGCACTCTCACTTTTATGCTTTCCAGTCATTATAAAGTCAATTAAATACGATAATAACGAAAGTTCACAGCACGATCAGTATAAGATACGATAGCCAAACACCAACTAAGCGCTCCACTGGGTAGACGCACATGAAGCCAGGCAGCCCATATATATATATATATATATATATATATATATATATATATATATATATATATATATATATATATATATATATATATATATATATATATATATATATATATATATATATATATATATATATATATATATATATATATATATATATATATATATATATATATATATATATATATATATATATATATATATATATATATATATATATATATATATATATATATATATATATATATATATATATATATATATATATATACAGTGGCCTCGGTTTAACGAACTCAATCCGTTCCAGAAGGTTGGTTAGTTAACTTAAAACCATTGTTCAATGGGTTTTTGGGTAGTGGTTCAGCTCACGAAAATTTCCTAAATTCAACAAAAATGGTGAAAAGTTCACTTACTTTGAGGTGGGTATGTAGAAGGCTCCTGGATGATGATGATGATGATGGGATTTAGAATTTTTAGCTCTCTGGTTTAATTCAAGATTATTTTCTTTAAATCAGCTGCACTGCATTATATATTGTCAATATATAAAATATGTTTCAAAATGACCAATAATTTGCTTGGAAACACAGAAAAAAAGCGTTTAGTTGAAGAGTCTCAAGCAAGATGTTACCTCCGAGTGAAAACAGAGACTGGCCTGTTTGCTGTGTGTAAAAAGCTGGATGACATGATAAACTAGTCTACTTTACCTTCAATTTTGTTCAATAATTGTTAAAATGACTAAAATTGAATATTAAACTTAAAATTATTGAATAGTATAAACTTCTTGATATTTACACAAAAATAGTAAGGAATTTAAGCCCTAGAACCGATTAATGTATTGGCGGACTGATACTAAAGCTGGTTGCCCTGTCAATTATAGCGAAAACATGTTAGTCGGTTCGTAAGAAGTTAGATTAGCGAATTTTTTTAGATTAACCGAATTGAAAGATCCTTATGGAAGGCAGTTAGATTAATCGAAATTACGTTAACCGAGGTGTTAGATTAAGCGAGGTCAATATATATGTATATATATATATGTATATATATATATATATATATATATATATATATATATATATATATATATATATATATATATATATATATATATATATATATATACAGTTACCCCTTAGCGGTCAATTGAACCCAGAGGGTCGCGTTAAGTGAAAACTTAGATAGAATAACAGAACATAGTTAATTCCAATAGAACCCAGCCGACCCCCCAAACTCACTTTTGACTGACAAATAACTATCATAGTAAATAACATCTTAATTTTATGATGATGGTACATACACAATTAATACTTAAGAGAAATAAGAAATGCAGTCGCCAGAGTTAATGTCCCATTCAAATAATGGACTCATCTCCCCTCTTCTCACACTACACTCACTGACTCTTCCCTCTGAAAATTTTTTGGGGAAAACCAGGTGTAGTAATAAATAATTCCTCAAACTAAAGTTAGGATAATATAATTTGACATTGCTGGATTCATGTAAGACCAGGAATATTTGAATATAAATGTCATATATTTTTCACAAAGATAACATATTTACTCAGAATAAACTTTACATCTAAAATTTATGTCTAATGCAAAATCTATGATGTTTATATTCCAAATGATCAGCAAATTGTAAGAATTCCAGCAATGTAAATTATATTCTGGCGGATAATTTGTATGAATTTTATGAGCTAAACAAATATCTTCAGTTAATAAAAAAAAATATTCTTCGACACTATCTGTCAATCAAAATTACCCCACCTTGCCTTCCCCCTCTTCCAACCCGCATGGTCAGTCCCAACCCTCCCCACCCCCCACCAATCCTCCATTCAAGAGTTTTTAACATTTAGTATTAAATAATACCTCAGATTAAGTTAGGATAATATAATTGACATTGCTGGATTCCTTGTAAGACCAGGAATATTTTGAATATAAATGTCTATATATTTGGACAAAAGATAACATAATTACATATATATATATATATATATATATATATATATATATATATATATATATATATATATATATATATATATATATATATAATATATATATATATATATAATATATATATATATATAATATATATATATATAATATATATTTATATATATTATATATATACAGTTGTACCCCACTTAATGCGGTCAATTGAACCCAGAGGGTCCCGCGTTAAGTGAAAACGCGTTAAGTGAATAACAGAACATATGGGATTAATTCCAATAGAACCCAGCCCGACCCCCAAACTCCACTTTTTGACGACAAATAACTATGTTGTAGTAAAAATAACATCTTAATTTTATGATGGTACATGCACACAATTAATACTTAAGAGAAATAGAGAAATACAGTCGCCAAGTTAATGTCCATTCAAATAATGGACTCAACTCCCTCCCCCTCTTCTCACACTACACTCACTGGCTCTTCCCTCTGAGAAATTTTTGGGGGAAAACCAGGTATAGTAATAAATAATTCCTCAAACTAAAGTTAGGATAATATAATTGACATTGCTGGATTCCTTGTAAGACCAGGAATATTTTGAATATAAATGTCATATATTTTGGACAAAAGATAACATAATTACCTAGAGAACAATTTTTATCTAAAAATTGTATGTTTAATGCAAAATATATGTTGTTTATATTCAAAATGATCACCAAATTATAAGAATTCCAGCAATGTAAATTATA